TCAGTTGTGGGATTGGTATGCAGAAGTTTGGCATATAGCTAGTAATAATAAATTAACATGTGGTATCCAAGTGAGAAAAGGGCATATACAGAAAAATAAGTTTAACAAGATTTGGGGTGTATTTATTGATTTTTTTTAAGGGAAAGGATTTGAACCTTCACAAGAATCATTGCAATTTTAGGAATTTACTGAAAGAATTTTTTTGAATGAGTTTTCAACCTGTGTCCTATGGTTCCAGTGACAGGGTGTACTGTATTTTTATGATTTATTTTAATAGTGTGTTTAATGTTATATGTTATTATTTTAACTGTGAGCTTTTTTAGCTTGTAAAACTATCTTGTAAAACTAATTAAAAAATTAAATACATTCAAGTATGCAACCCAATATACAATTACAATAAACCATCAAACAATGAATAATGAACCAAATCAATGAACAGCTGCAACTGCTAAAAACCCAAACCCGCACAAAGCCAATGGAGTGCAATGAAAACCACATGAAGCAGAAACATTTTCAAGGTCCAATAAAAGATTTCGAAAAAGTGGACATGCATCCTGCCAGGGGGAGGGAGCTCCAGAAAGGCGGAGTTGCCCTTGAGAAGGCTCTGCACATGATACTGGTCAATCGGATGGCTTTTGATGGCAGGCCACGTAGCAAAACTCTTGGGTCTGGTATCAGGAGTCTTTCAAGTTCAAAAGAAGGCTTTTATTGAGTGGGAAAGAATAGGCAGCCACAACAAGTGGCATTATATGACAAGCGTGCCCCCCCACACACACACACACCCTGGTGACAATATTCTGTACCAACTCAAGCTCCCAGACTTCTTCAAAAGCATTCCTAACACAGAGAGCATTGCAGTACTCTAGTCTGGATGCGACCAGGACATGCAATTGAAGCAAAATCCTCTTTTTTCCAGATACACTTGGGCAGAATCTTTGTTGTTGTCGTTTGTGCTGTTAAGTGGTCTTCAACTTGTGTATGGAAGCCCTTCAGAAGGTCCTCTCCTTACCAGCTCCATTCAGCTCTCCTAACCTCAAGCCTGCCGTTTCCTTGATGGATTCAATCCATCCCATATCTGTTCGTCCATTTTGTCTGCTGCTGGGAGCCTTGCCTTCTCACGATGTGTTCAGAGTATGACAGCCTCTCCACCAGCACCATGTTTCAAACACATCGGGTTTTTTTCCTGTTGGCTTTCTCCACTGTCCAGCCTTCACACCCGTACATTGTGATCGGGAATACAAAGGTTTGGATCATGCTGAGCTCGCTCTCTGCACATGGTAACCTTTTGTCTCTTCATTGCTGCCTTTCCAAGTCTCAGACTTCTTCGAATTTCCTGGCTGCAGTTTCCCTTTGACTTGATGATATGTGAAATCTTTCACAATTTCAATTCCTTCATTAACAGTGTAATCGTTCTGTGGGCATTATTTTTGTTTTCTTACTATTTATTTATGAAATTTATAGGCCATCCATCACTGTCATCTCTGGATGGCTTACAGAATATTATAAATCCTAATATTCAGCGGCAGTTCTGCTTTTATGCTTTTTCTCAGGAGTCAATTCGAGTCATTGCCGCTTTTGCCAGTAGTGTGGTATCATCTGCTAATCTTAAATTATGTTGGTCTTAATAAATATTGCCCAAAGGTGGAGTACGGATCTCGCCCCCACCCCCTGATCAGCCTGAGAATTGGCACAGATCCCCTGTGCCATGCATTTCTTGGGACCTCCACAATAGCAAGCCCAGCCTTCTGCGGTCCATGCGGAACAACAGCTTCCCCAAGTTTGGCCTGCAGCTCCCCCTGCTGCTCATCGTAAAACAGCACGACACCCCAATACACAATACAATTCTACAGAGTGTGACATCTGACTTATGAAGGCCTTGGGACAACTCAGGGCAGAGGACACATTAAGGGAAATGCTTGATGTTCGTTGGCTTTCCAGAAAACCTGGCATTCTTCTCAAAATATTAATTTGTTTGATTTAGTACCTCTTTCATCATAGAACTTGAGATGGCATTGATGGGGTTCCCAGGTGGTCGCACATCCAAAAGCTGATCAGAACCAGACCTCCATTGTTTCAGCCTGGTGTCCATAGCATTGCTGTCAGATCACAGGCTGGGAGTCAATAGAACTAGTTCTGTTCTGCTTTTAATCAATGATCCATGATCGGGCAGGCCATAAGCATGAAGGACACGATGTGCCCTTATATGTGATTGCTTGTGATGCAAGGCATGTAATGACACTCTAAATTCAAATTGCACTGAGGAATATGGTCTGGTCTCCATGCTTTACAAAAGAAAATTTGCAGTCAGCTTTAACCTCCAAAGTGAAGCTTGGTAAAAAGTTTGCAAACTCCTCTTCATGTTATACGGTTGTCCGCTGAGCCAAAAATGGGTCAGGCTTGCACGTTTGTTTACTCTCAGCTCAGTTTGCAGTTGGACATGGAGGTAAACTTACTAAAGTCTGTAAATCAAGCCATATTAAGTGCAGCTGTGGGTTGTGCCTGAAAAGCTTGGCAATTCCTTTAAAGGAACGGTTCAGAAGGTTTTCATTTAGGGTGCTTCAGCATGGACACTTCCTAGCACTTACAATGCAGGTATTATGGAGCTCTTCTGTATGAGTTTTCTCTGACAGGAAAAAATAGAAGCAGTATATTGGAGTTCCAGACTTTATTTATAGTATTTTTGTCCTATCTTTTCTCTTCCACGGAAATCAAGGTGGCTTACATAATTCTCTTCCTCTTAGTCTCAGCCTCACAATGGGTTGGGTTGAGAGTCTGGTACTGGGCCAAAGTCACCCAGTTGGCAAAGGAGGGACTAGAACCCACATTTCCCGAGTTCCGGAACCCCACCCTTAACCACTACACCACACTGTCTGTCCAGTATCTTCCACTTCTACCTCTCTCATGTTTCCCCCCACATCTCCTATCTTTTTCCTTACTACTGACATGTGTTAAGGGAAAAAAAGACAAAATCGCTGCACAGGCCTTCTTGATAGTGTAAGGAGTCCTTCATCTGGAAGTAGCTGATGTCATCTGAACCCTTGCAAGATTCTGTGAATCAGCGGGGTGATTGCACAATAAACGTCTCATGAGGAAGGATTCCTGTAGCAATGCAATAAATTCAGAGAGGTTTCAGCAGGCCTTATAGGGTCCAGACAATGGGGGACAGCCTTGGTAACCCCGGGCTCTCCAGCCTCCTCACCATATGGGTTTGTGCCTGGGACTTCCCAAGAAAAACTACAAACCATGGAGTGGATGCCTGAAAGGCATGGTATAAACAACACAGTTTGTAACATTGCACAACTAATCACGGGGCAGGATTCTTAAACCTTTACTTCTGGTTTCTTAATGTGTGGAGCTGAGTCATGAGATAGCCTTAACTCTGCTAGACTAAATTAAATTTTACCTGATCCTTCTTTGTTATTTCAGACCCATTTATACTGAACTGGAGTCATTTAATCAGGAGGATAAAGTTAACTTTGTCCAGAATGCCTACATCCAGTTTATGGGTCATAGCATCATAGTGCTTTCTGTGAATGAGAATACAAAAACCAAGCATCTTTTTTCTCCCAATTTTGTTAGGCTGCTGAAACTAAAAAAGCTTGGCAGAAAACTAGGCCCGAGCCAAAAGGACTGTAGGATGTAGGATTCTGGAATGTCACTAATGACAATTACAGATCTAGAAGTCAGCAGGGTGTGGTCAGCTGTGCCCAAGGTTTCTTCCAAGTTGCACAGGCCTGGGCTGCAGCAGCGGCATCCTACTTGCTCTGGGCTGGGATACAGGAGGGAGTGGTTAGTGATAACTCCAGCAACTCCCACTGTTCACCTGTAGATGTGGGTGGAGCACAGATACTCTACTCATTGGAATGGCAGCATTTAGAACAGATCGGGTTTGTTGATTTGTGTGGAGCCGCCAGATCCTCACAACAGAAGCATTAACAAAAGGCAGACGTAGAGAGATAAGGTACTTGAGAGCCAGGGTTGTATACTAGACTGGGACTCAGGAGGTCGGGGCTGTAGCCCCTCTTGGCTGTGAGGCCACAGCCATGAAGCCCACTAAGTGACTTTGAGCCAGTCACTGGCTCAGCCCAACCTACCTCACAGGCTTGTGGTGAGAATAAAATGATGAAGAGGAGGAGCAGGGTTATGTAAGCCACCCTGGGTTCCTTCCAGAAACAGGTGGAATAACAATATAATAAGCAAATAAACAGTCGACACAAACCTGAGCAGTCTTTATGGTATGCTGTCAAACACACCTCACACTTTCCAAGTATCCCACCTCTGTTTCTGCCTGTATGTTCAACACGTAAACTGAGCCTTCCCAGCCACTTTTGGGATATGAAAGCCACACAGAGATTGCAGAAAAAAGGACACATTTGCCTAATACCTGCGGATGCTAATTTTTACTTGCAGAGCTGCATTTGGCAGCATCCTACTTGCTCTGGCCTAGGATACAGGAGGGGGTGGTTGGGCACCTGGTTGGAGGGGACAGTCTCCGGAGGACACCCTCCTGTGTGAAAAGCGATGCGTGGACGAGGGAGAGGAATTTGAGTTCATTTGAACAAGAAAAGCCTTAACCGGAAGGATTCTAGGGGGCACAGGAGGTGCAGCACGTGGGAGGATGCCCCTGGACCTTCATTTCAGCAAGGGCTTATTGAGAGCAGGCTGGTGGGGAGACGGCCTCCCAGCGATACGGGGCTGCAGCCGCGCCGCGCCGCGCCGCGCCTGAGCCCGCCTCTCTCCGGCCCCGAGCGCCGCCCTCGCTTCCCGCGGAGCCCGGCGGAGGAGGCGCCCCCTGGGGTGGGTGGACGGGCGGGCGCCGGGGCGCCTCCCCGGCCGCCTCCGGGAGACGCAGCCAATCGCCGGGGTCGCTCCGGGCGCCCACGAGGGCCGGCGGCTCGGCGACGCGGGGGAGCCCCACCCCGGGGAGCGCGCGCCGCTCCCATTGGCGCGCGCGCTTGTAAAAGAGGCCGGGGGCGCGCGCTGCGGGAGCCGCGGAGCCGAGGAGACGCGATGGGCCGGCTGGGCTGCTGTGCGCTGCTGTGCGCGTGGGCCTTGGCCTTAGGTGAGCGGGCGCGCCGGGGGTCGCGGCTTGGCTGGCGGGCAGGACGGACAGCCTCTCTCGGTGCAGCCGGGGCGTCCCGGGAGGCAGGCGGGGCGGGTGCTTCCCTGATGTGCGCCGGTGCCTCGACTCGAGTTAGCGCGTACTAATAAGCGACGTCGTTGGGATGCGCAAACGGCAGCTTCGTTTCGGCAGGCGTGGGGGAGCGCAAGTGTTTGCAGACGCAGCCAACGTTGGACGGTTGTGAGGGAGCGAGGGAGGACGCAGTGTGCCTAGTGGGCATGATGTGCTGATCGCGGGATTCTGTTTTTCCAGCTCTAGAATTAGCTGTTCTCCCGTTCCTCATGCAAGTGGCTCACAAGGTTCTCCTCTCTATTTCATCCTCAGAACAGCAGCCTGTGAGGTAGGGTAGGCTGAGAGACAGTGACCCTTTGGGCCCTCAGTCACCCACTGGGCTTCTGGAATGAGTGGGACTAGGACCCAGAGCCCCTGAGTCCCCATCCACCACTCTTAATCGCTACCCCACACTGGCACCATGATGAACCTGCATGCACTACAGTCTCTGTCCGTGTAACAAATTCACACACTCATCTAGGACTGTTTTGTCTTACATGTGATGATAGTTCTCATGCAAAAGCAGAAGTGCCTTCCTTGTAGGAATTTGCTAAAAGAGGAAGTGGTTGATCATGTCATGGTGATATGACAGGTCCTGGAAGGTCTGATGAAAGACAGCTGGTGGGAGATTGGACATCCATATGTTTCTTTGTCATTGTTTTGATAGTAGGGGAAGATGGTTGAGATACCCTTTCTAACATGGAGGGTTGCCTGCTTATTTTTCCTCAATGGAGAAGGTGTTCCTTGAAACTCTACGTGGCAGAAATTCAACAGAGGCAGCATTATCTGTTTCCTTGCCCCTGTGAGGCTGAAGCAGTGGGGGGGTCATAGAATCATAGAGTTGGAAGGGGCCATGAAGGCCATCCAGTCCAACCCCCTGCTCTTGCAGGACACCACATTACACCATCCCACTGAGATGACTGTCAAGTTTCTTTTTGAATGTCTCTAGTGTGCCCTCTATTGCATCTCTTGAATGGCTGTTCTGCTCAAACCACACAGCCTAGTAGTGGATTATTGGCATCTGACCAAGGCACTACAAAGCAAGCATGCCTTTCTTGGCTGCCTTGCTGCTTTAAAAGACGCCCAATTCAAAATTCAGATCAAAGAGTCGTTGTTACCTTGCTCAAATGAACAGCAATTCTGCACTGAGTAATCCTCGTAAAGAGGCACTTTTTTCTGTGTTTGTACATGGGGTGGACCAAGCAGGACTTGCTTAATTCCTCCCTTCTTCCTCTTTTCTGCTAAAAATTACTCTTCTCCCTACCCCATGCCCTTCTTTCCCACTGGGAAAAATATATGGGTACAGCTCTAGGTGCTTTAGGGCTTGTGGGAATTTAAATCTGTAACATCTGGAAATGTTACCTGCTGCCCACCTTTGCTTTATCAGAACTGGGAAGCCTGTGGTCCCCTGCTCCATGTTCCTACAGTCATCTTGCATGAAGATAGGCAACGTTGGCTGGGGGTGTGCATACAGCAACATCCAGAGAGCCAAAGAGCCCCCAGTCCTGCAAATCCCACAGTGGGATTTTACTTTTTATAGAAAGTGACTATTCCTCTCCGGGATCAAAGGAAGACATTACTTTCCAGATATATATATATATGCTTTACGCTGCATATCCCCATAGCTTTTCCCACTCTTCATCCCTACCATAGGATGTCTAGGAACCCGGGAGACTGGGCTGACACAAGAAAGTTTTTGTGCAGGTATGAATATTAGCAGAATCGTCAGAATACTTAGTCCGTCCACTCCCCCCAAAGGCAAAGTAGGGACAGGGATTTAACAGAACAGATTTAAATCTGGCAGCTGGAGTATGTACACAGGTTCCAGAATGTCTCTTCTGTGGGGTCAGTGGTGCAAAGCTGCCTTCTTGGCCTGGTGGCAAGACTGCAAAATAAGCAAGGCCATGAAGATGTGAAGATGGGTGAAAGTATTTCGTTGCTAAGAACGGTAGTGTGCTTTTTGCCATGAGCTAGACCCTTTCCAAAGTGGCTTGGGATGCATTCTAGGATGTCCTCTGTGTCACTTCCACACATGTGGGTGCATCCAGAAGTGCCCTTGAATTGGAATGCCTGGAGACTGGGAGGTGAGGTTGACCAAGGCTGCCAGTTGAAATCTCAGTGGCTTGTAATAGCCATCTGTGTCCCACCTGCTCCACAATTTTCTAGCCCTTCACATCTTTTGAACTAGAACTTCTGTCAACACCGACCATTGGCCAGGTTGGCTAGAGCAGAAGTCCCAGATACCTCAGGGGGTACCAGGTTCTGGAAGGTGTGGCTGTGTTGGTGGTATCACAGACTACACCCTCCCCATGAAAGGAGGGATGATGCCGCAAACCCAGGCCCTGTGCAACCTGGAAGACAGCCCGGGCACAATCATCCACACCCTGATGACCTCAGATTAGATTACTGTAATTACACTAGCATCGTTTCAGAGTAATTCACCTCAGGACTAGGGCGGTAATTTCGGCTCAGCCCTGGAATGTGTTTCCAGTACTAGAACTGAGTTTGCAGATTTTCCTTTCCTAGTTCTTTTCCACCCCTTTAAAATAGCTTAACCAAAGTAAAAAGAGCCTCCCTGTTTGAGGTATCATTAAGCAACAACTTTTGCTGATATGTGAATTACCCAAAATATTAATATATTATATTAATTACATTCAGAATGCCTAAAGCAGCCTTCTCCAACTTGGTTCCCTCTAGATGGGTTGTGTTTCCAACTCCCATCATCCCCACTCATACCTGAGTTTGTGATACTGGTTAAAAAAAACCCAGAAGTAATGCATTTTATACAAACACACGTTCTCAGTCCAATGGACAAAAATACACATTTGGCTATGCATTTAAAGAAAGGGTATGCATGAGAACGTTTCTCCAACCATGGCAAAAACTTCCAATTGGAAACAGTAAAGAGCTTGACAGTCTGGCAGGGCCAAAATCCTCTTCCAGGCTAACCCTGTTCTTTCAGGTTAATTTCACTATAAAACATCAGCCTGGTATAAACAGCAGCCTTAGTGGCAGCTTTAGTTCCACTTGGAACCATAAGTGGGAGGACCAAAACATGAGTTGTTGATGCTCCCATAACTTGGTCTTGCTTGCAGTCTGGTTAAACCAACCATTAAACTGGCAATGGTTAAACCAACCTGGTGCCCTGCATCTGAGAATCCCAAGTCCACAACATCTGGAGGGCACCAGGTCAGGGGAAGCTATTGTAAATGACCCATAAGCTCCAGGTTCGTCTGTAAATCACCACTGGACCTCTTTGCCTGCTCTAGCACAGAGAACCCAAACAACATGAGTAGACAGAACAGGCAGGAGATGAGAGAAGTGCAACGGTGGGAGAAATGGAAGAGAAGAGCAAGTTTCCTTCTGGAATATACTGCTCTAAATTAGAGGTTTCCCAGTGAAATGTGCCAATTCTGGTGCTCCAGCCTGTTCTTCGCCAGCGTTTTCTCCACTGCACCTTGCCCTGGGGTGGCAAAAGAGCCAACGGGAATAGCGCTGCTTACTGCATCTTTCCAGCCCTTGCCTGGCAGCCTTGTTTATGCCTGCGGATTAGTGGCTTGTCCCCTCTGCAGAAAATGCTGACATGGAAGAGGAGCGGAATCTCATTTTCAGGGTGTGTTGCCTTCGGTCTCTTTGCCATTTAACAGTTGTTTCGAATAAGGTTTGCTTAATGATGGGCAGAGGTTCCTGAATGCAGGATTCATAGATTTACTTGCAATCTCTGTTAAAGTGAGTGTAAGTTTATCAGATCAATAGCTTGGGTTGGCCCCTGTGCCAATTTCTTTCCTTTAATTTCTTAGGCAGAGCAATTTCTGATCCCTTTTGTCAATTTCCTTTTTAACTTGTACAACTGCGAGCCTATATTTTTTTCACATTGTATAGTCTCTTTCTGGTTTCTTTTCTCTTTGTGCCATTTCTGATCTTGATAGTGAATGAAAAGGTTCCAGTATCCTTCAGAACCCCTCTCTATCAGCCAAATAACATTTACTCAAGAGAACAGTAGGATTATCTTGTACGTTCTTTATCTTGTAGATATTGTATGACCAACCATAAGCAGCTTTTGCATGTGTTGGGCAGGTGAATGGATGCATATCCTAATGTAGATAGATGTTTGTTTAAATGAACACTCAAATGGGGGGGGGTTCTACTCCCCCAGCAAATTTTAATGCAATAAGGCTGTCACTCATAGGTATGTAACTATTTACCAGTCTTGGGCATGTCAGTTGCATGGTTTTAAATGTTCAGAGTACTTTTCATGTATTACCTAGTTGGAATTCTTGCAGCAAATCTGAAAGGTAAGTTTGTGTCATCTTTTGTATTGTGGGTTGAGATCCGAGGCTGAAAGAGGGTGGCCTGCGGAAGGTTCAGTCCCCAGCACCTTTTGGTAGGACTAGGCGAGACCCTTACCTGAAACCTTGCGCATCTCCTCTCAGTTGGATTATGCAATATTGGCCTAGTGTCAGACTTGGTATAAGCCACCCTTCCCCAGTCTTTTGGACTACAGCTCCCATAATTCCCAGGTGGTCTGACTCACTGGATCTTTTGAATGACAGCTTCCATCATTCCAGAGCCATATCCTGCTGGCTGGGGCTGATGGAAGTTCCGGTCCAACCCATCGAGATTGGCTGTCCCAGGTTAAAGTGAGTTCATAGTAGAGGAGAGATTTGAAATGGGTATATCCTAGTTCTTAGCTCAAGGCAAGATGGAAATTCCCTTGCTCAGAGAATCTGACATTGAAATGCATTTAGTGTTAACTTTCAAAATCTTTTCTTCTTTCAGGAAATGGATGTAATTATTCAAGCACAATCCCTGATTTTGGTACTATTTACCATGTCAAAGGTAAGCTTTACTCAGTGTATCTCTTCAGAAACTGACCCCCTTCCTATCTTGATTATCTTTGGTTACAAGCCTACCCCAAACTGGAGCCCTCCAGATGGCATAGGCTTCAACTCCCATCAGCCCCAGCCAGCATGGCCAATGGTCAGGCGTTTGGGGGGCTGTAGTCCCAGAGTCATCATGTCTTGGAAAATACCTAGCATTGACAACTCTGCCATATTTATAGGCAAACTCTTGAGCTACTTTCTTGTTACTTACACAGCTTTGTGTGGTGTTGACTCTTTGTGTGGTGACTGACTCTTGCAGTCGCTTTTGCACAGGAAAGGGCCGCTGGATCTGGACTGGTTTTGCAGCACGCCTCTGCATCTCCTACATGGCCGAGTTCACACAACTGATGCAGTCCCCTTGCCAGATCCTGCAGTACCCAAATGGTCTATGTTTTGGGACATCCTACAGAATATTACATGAGCAGGGAAGGGATAGTAGCTGTTAGCATTCAAACCACCGAGTCATTTGTTGTAGCTTTGCTTGAATGGGCTGGTCAGGCCAAAGCCGACACCGTGACTGTGCTAGGATTTCGCTGGGGGTTGGTTCCGAGTTGAGATGCACATGATACAGACACACGCAACTTCTGTTCATTTCCCTGACAGTATCTCCCCATGCGCATATGTGAAGTGCCTTTCTGGTAACCGTTTTTGAGGATTGACATTTCCTATTTTGGTGCACCCACATTTAAAAATGAAAGTAGAAATGAGCATATCTTAAACTGAAATGCTGCCTTTAAGATTGTGTTAGAATGTTAAAAATTGACCTACCGTTAACTTGGGTACAGTAAGTCCCCCTAGGGGATCCTCACAGCATCTAACTTACTTATTAAAAATCAGATGCTGTTATAACTTCCAAAAATTAATACATGCTTGACACCTAATTTTTGTGCAGTCCACAGTCTTCCTTTACTTAGCTTGCTTGTTTATGGACACCTCACAGTGATTTTCAACTGTCTAATTTGTACTTCAGTTACCTAAATAAATACAAAGAAGGATCAAGATGGTAAATTTTAATCAGTCAGACTTCCAAATTAACCAAGACTTGTCTATAAACCCATTACAAAGAAGCTGAATCATGAATGAGCATGCTAATTTGGTCATGTTTCAGTATTGAAAACAATGAATTCATAATTCTTTGCGTGCAACGAGGGAAATACATGGGGCATTCTGTTCTTGCTGTGGCTTCGAAGTCTGAAGTAACCAAGCCACTTCCTTACTGTTCCTCAGCAGGAGGAGGGGCATCTAAGATTAAACATTCCTGCATTCATAAATTTCAATGGAGAAATCATTATCTCTGGATTAACCCTGGTGTGATACTGGTTTGGAACATTTACACCTGATGCTACCCTCTCATTAATGCATGCTGCTTATTTCTGTATGTTGCAACCTGCTTGCATTAAGAACATCTGTTTAGGACCCTTGTATCATAGTGTGTTGGAAGTGTGCAGGAAATGCAAGCTTGCACCAGTAAAGACTTTGTTGGAAGCAAAATCGGAGTGCAATTGGTGTTTTCCCCGTCAGCCAAATATGGGTGGGACCTTCTCAAAACTCATTTTTTCCTCTTTCTCTGGCTAACCTACCTAGATGGAATTTACTTGAATTGGTGCCTCACCTAAGCCTCTCCCCAGTTTTTAGTCAGAGCACGTTTATGCAACTCCTGCTGGAGTCATGGATGCAAATAGATTTCTCTGCACTGATCTGTCTTTCCAGGAATATATTTCTCTTGTGACAAAACCTTAGCAGTCTGTGCTAAAACATAACTGTGGTGACCAAATTTGATGCAACCATTTTAAGATTTTGTGCTGAAGGTGGTGCTCCTTTCAGTCGGGTGTGGGGTGGTTTGTGCCCTCCTGTTCCTGTGCTGAAAGGCTGCTCTGTCTAATTCCAGTGCAGAGATGAAATGATGGGTGAGTGGAGGTCTCAAAGCTGCTCATGGACAAGAGGGCCTATCAGGGATAGGGGAAAGTGCTTGCCTGCAGCTATTGCAGAAACACAGTAGGGGAGCATGGGCTTCAATAGCTGAGCTGCATCTTCAGCCCAGATTCCACAGGTAGCAGTAAGACGCTGGTCGTTCAGCCTTGCAGTTCCCGTGTAACCAAGAGCCCGTGGATGTGCTCAGGGGCTTATTTTTGGACATGAATCTGCTCCCCCATGTTGGGTTCACTCCACTAGGTCCCCAGTTCATCAGCTATCCAACTCTGCAGTGGAAGAGTCTGTTTGCTACTTTGATGTGTTTCTTAGCAATATAGATTGGATCCGTCCACCGTCTACCATGCAAGAAACCCAGCTGCACATCTCTCTGTGCCACAGATGACTCTCCACTTCATGGAGAGGGTTTGAAAGTAAAATTTAGGGCTTCCTTGTGATAGCCTGAATTTTACTGTGTGTGGATTGGAAGGGGGGCGGGGAGAGGTTTGCTGACATCTCCATCTGCCAGTCCTAGCCCCCGTGTCTTCCCAACCCCTCCGTCCATCTTTTTTACTTCTTCTTAATCCATTAAGGAGAAGAGCAGAGAGACTAACTGTGCATTGGCTTCTGAACATTAGAGCTTGTGGCCCTTTGCCTGGAATATCCTTTGTAGTTTCCTGGCCTGGTACCCTCCAGATGTTTTGGATACAGCTCCCAGGATTCCTGACCATTGCCTCTGATGGCTGGGACTGATGGGAATTGAAGCCAGCAATACTTGGCAGGCCCCAAATTGGGAAAAACTGATCTACAGCATATCCTGGTCTGAATGTTGGCCTCTTCTGTTTCCTCCCTCTTTCTGGACCATTGAAAGTGCAGTCAAAGAAAGCTACCACATGCAACAAAGCATTGTGCAGATAGGATTGTCTCCATTGATGTCGAGTGTGCTTGAGTCTCTCTCTCTCTCTCTCTCTCGTGTCCTCTAGGAGTTATCAACCTCCCTTATGCTGAAATTGAAGAGCCCTTTGAAGCTTGGTACAACCTCACTGGAAACAAGAGTCGCATCGAGTACTATGATGGTATGAAACTGGGGTGCTAGTGTGGAAGGGCAGTTCACATGTAGGCAGAGAAAACATTGGCTTGCGTGCTAGGAGAATCAGGAACTTGTGTGCTTGTGTAAGTTGCCTGCTTGCCTCTTTTGCACAGTTTTTTGTGTTCCTTTGAGTCAAGGAACATGCCCCTGACTGTTGGAAGTCTATTTTTCCTCCTTCATTCCCAGGGCTCCTGAAGATACTCCAGATACTGTTGTCACATGTTCTGCCTTCTTTCTTAAACAGTCTTTCCCAGCTTGGTGTCCTGCAGATGTGTCCATCTGCCATTCTCCTCATTCTCAACCAGCATAATGGGACTTGAAGTGCACCAGATCAGCAAGGCTCTGGAGGGGGAAAGCCCACTCTTAAAGGCTAGAAATGGATCTCGTAAAAGCGGAGAAGCAGGATCCTAAATGGATCCTTAAAAGCAGAGAAGCAGAGATTGTCTGCTGTTAATGATGATCAATATCTGGGTTTATTTAATGCAGGCATATAGGTGGTCACCAAATTTGCATAGCTTTACCTGCCGGTAGGAGGACTAGTAGTTTTTCTGAGCTCCAGAGCATTTACTAGTCACTGTACATAAGAAGCCCCTGAGGGTGAATTTTCCCCTGAGACGTCTTGTTGGGAGCCCAACCACCATTTCAGAAATTCAAGCCATGGTGGGTGATGCTGTTATTAGTTATGTGCCGACGCAGCCAGGGTAGGTTGTTGGGAGGATTAGCAAGTCACCCAGAACCCATGTCCTCTTTTAAGGTTGTGGGTGGCTTATTGACCACCCCACCCACCCCACTAGAGCAAACTGTGGTGTGCAAATGCCCACTTGAGTTCCCAGAATGCTGGCCACAAGAAGCCCTGCAAGGAAATTCACCTCCAGCATGAAGCAGGTGCGCTCTCTCTCTTCTTTGCATCCACTAAGCACTTCATTTTCTTCCCTTTCTTTTCTGCAGTACAACTTAAGGCAGGGTGACTGAGCCTCTCAGGTAGCCTCTGAGTCTGGCACAGATCAGACCTCCGCCTTAACATATAATCAGAATGTATTTACTGGGACTGTAACTCTTACATTTACTTGAATGGGGTATATTCTCAATGGGAACATTTGGGAAGCAAATTTAATTGGTGAGACAGCAATTAAAAGGTATGCCTTTGTATGCTTTTGAAGCCCTGAGAACAGTAAAGATGTTTCTTTTAACGATGCAGGGTTGATTTTCTTACTGAATTGTACATTCTTATGCTGCCTTCAAGACATCAGGCCTTTGCTTATGATTTGGCAATCTGCAAAACTGTTTTCATTTGGTTTTAATTTGCATTTTAATCAATGTTAAATGAAAATAGCACTTAATTATTGTACGGGCCTAGTTTATATGAACGCTGCTGAAGTAGGAGCACAGGGTAAGCCTGCAGGCATGAGACTGGCCATGCCATGTTCCTTTTCTTCCAAATGCCTGCCTACTGTACATAATTTATTTCAAAGAGTTTATATCTTGCCATTCCAGAGCTGTGTCCATGTGGTTCTTAGTACAGAAATTATTTAAATTTTGTTTACAACATCTGTATGCTGCCCAGTAATGTACCATTTCCTGCACAGCTTGCAATAAGCAAAAACAATTTTAAATACAGAATAAAATCATAACATTAAAAGCAGCATTAAATATGTCACAAATAACAGTTTGCACAACCCAACGTTAAACACATAGAATGGGTTCGGGCAAAATTACAACCCACACTCAGGAGCTGAATAGGGTTTAAACATATAGTTGTCATTCAACATGGGTTGTTGTGCTATCTAAACCCTGCTGAACAACCTGCAGGAGAACCCATGTGTTCCTGGGTTGTGAACTGTGGGTTGTTCACCCTAGTTTGTTTAACTTAGCTGGGTTTAGACAACATGATAAGCCACATTTTGTTGAACCACAGGTGGTGGTTGTTGAAAACCTGCTTTCAGCCCATCCTTATGCTTTGAGCATGGGTTACTGTATTTTCTGAACCCACTCAGAAGAGTTCAGATCTGAGTTAGTTAAAAACAAAGCATTCAAATTATAATAAACTAGTAATGAAAATAAACTCACCTAGAGTAAAGCCCTGAATCCATAACAGAAGCTCAGCAAACATTTCCAATAATAAGAACCTGTGCTGTGTTCTGATGGCAGCACATTGACTTTCCAAGCAGTTGGTCCTGGATTCAAGCCCCAGCATCCCCACTTTTGGGGCAGTTCTTGCAGCTGCTGCTACTCCATGTATCAACAATACAGAGTTAAAAGAGCAGGTAATCTGACTTGTGTATAAGGCAGCTTCTAATACCTACTGAAATGCCCCCCTTTTTTTCCTCTGTGGGGCCCAATAATTTTGGCCCAGTACTAATTCGTCCATCAAGGCCAGTATCGTCCACTTCAACTAAGCAGCAATTCTCCAGGTGGTTTTCCCATCACCTGCTAAGTGGTCCTTTTAACTGGAGTGGGCAGGGATGGAACTGGGGACCACCTGCATCATCTCTTCCCATAGGAGATGGTCTCCTCCTTTTCCATGATTTTGCCAATGTTTCTCTTGCCGTTGTGCAGGCCAAGTGGTGACCTTACAGCTGGGGTGTGTGGAACCGTATGGGACCATGTTCAAGATAACACCAGCAACCACAGAAAAGGTGGTGAATACTGAGAAGTGCTTCCAGCTAAATGGCACCAAAGACAACCACGTGAGCGCCCAAGGAGTCTTTCCCGACTTGACAAACTTCAAGGTAGGCTGGCAATTGCCCAGAAGCTAGAAAGAGAAATGGAGAAGTCTCAGCTTCAGAGTTGGGCTTGGACTGGGAAGCCTCCTCTGAAGTGAAAAGTCCCCCCGCTCCCCTCTCCTTCCTTAGCTGCTCCTTGTGATGTGATCTAACCTGTAGGGTCCTTCCTTGTTTCAATGAAACCAGAACCAGGACTTCTGCCTTTGCTTGACTAACAGAGTGATACCTTTTGCTGGTTGTGTTTTGGCTCAAGCCAGTTCCAAGCTCAGCTGGAAAATGCCCTGGAAATTTAAACATGGGCATGGCCACCCATGGCCCTAACTTAGCTATTGCCTGGATTCCAGCCATATATATATACTTAGATTGACTTTCCAGGGCCTAGAGACCTTGATCTGGTTGCCAGTTAGGAACGTCACCAATGCAAGAACCTTTGGAATGTGTGGGACTCGCATCACAGCAGGTTTGTGCTGTTGTGCAGTACTTAGATCGGTGGGTCCTTTGCCAGAGATCTTGGTGGATGCCACCTTGGGTTTCTGCCTTTCCCCAGCACAGGTAGCAAGTCATACCGTTGTTCCATCTCGTTCAGCATTGACTGGTAGGGTCTCCAGTTTTTCAGGCAAGAAGCTTTGCAAGCTCTAACTAGAGATGCAGGGGCTGAATTTCATTCTTTTTGCATTCAAGACAAGCCACTTAAGATCATCCTCAAAGATCCTTCTTTCTCACCCACCAGTGAATTCCAGTAGCAGATGAAGTTATGCAGGCAGTCTCTAGACCTCTGCCTGAGACTTGGTACCGGAGTGGGCAAGGCTTGCCAACCTGGTGCCCTAGAGATGTTTGGGAGACCAATTTTCATAAGTTCCAGTAGCATGACCTGCAATCAGGACTGCTGAAGTTCTGGGAGGGCACCAAGTTAGGGGAGCTTGGAGAAGACCGTGGTGGATGAGATGGGCAAGTGCCTGGCCTGCTTAGAGGGGAAGTCCTTCTCATGGTGACTCTTTTCACTCTCTCCCCAGCCTGTAAGGGAAGAGTACTACAAAGGCCAGTACTGCAATGTCTGGCAGAACGTATCCTACTGGGGCCACAAGAAGAATGTCTACACCATGTGGGTCACCAACACCAGCTGTGGTGTGTCACCTGTGCACTACGAGATGAGAGGCTTCAACACTTTGCTGGGGTCCCACTATGACAAATACGAAATCGATTACACCGATTTCTCCAACAGCTTCCCAGCGTCCGTCTTTGTTCTGAAGCCTAACGGTAAGAACTTTAGTGTATCACACACTTATCTCCAAATAAGGAGGGCATTATTTGGGGTGGGAAAGGCATTAGTGGGGCTTTCTTAGTTGTGCCTGCACTGTTACCCTGCAAGGCAAACTGTTTTAAGGTAGGGTTTTCTGTCCCAAATTCCTAGCAGACATTCACCAAAAAGCATCTGCAACAACGAAATCTTAAACTCTCTGTTCTCGTTCTCTTGATAACTCTTTATGTCGGTTGGAACACTCATTCTCTGCATCTTTTGAAAAAGCAAATTCTACACTCATTTAGCTCCAACCTTGTGTCTCTGCTTGTATGTGGATAGTGCTCTTTCTTTTTAGATCCCCCTCTTATTTAAGGTTTCATGCCACTTTTTCTACCACTGCACCCAAAGCAATACACAATTGTGAAAGGAAAGCATAGATCAACCAGATAGTAAAAACCCTAGCAATCTTGCTTTAGTAAAAACAAGCAGGAGAAAAAGAGTTGCTTACCTTTTTTGAAAGTCATGTACATGTTATGTGAGATATATGAATAAAATGTTAAGTCCATGAAGTACAGTATTTCTTAGTGAAGGAACGAGCCCTGTGTGCTTGAGTGGGTGGATTGTTTGTCAGAGCCGAAAGTGCTTTCAAGATACATATTAACCATTTATTGCCACGTGCTGCAGCTCTTAGTTACTCCTGTGATGTCAGTTTTAAATCGATGGATTTTCACGAGGCAGAGTTTTAGCTCAAAGGCCATTGAAAGGTCTGTTGATGTCAGGGCCAGCATTATAGCTAAGGGTGGGAGAACCTGCCATGGCCCCCATCGAGGGTGTCTTGCTCAAGGGCCCTCAAACACCTGGAGCCAGCACTAATTGAAATCCATGAGTTTAAGCTTGTTTAACTCTTTGCTGGACTAAATCCAAAGCACCTTGAGAAACCTGTTGTCTAAGATCTTTGACAAGAAAAGAAAACACACACAGCTTCGTGCCACCACATTTTCATCCCGCCTATTCATTCCATCCAAAAGATATTGCATCCCAGTTCACATCACCCCTGACTATTGACCATGCTTGCTGGGGCTGATGGGAACTGGAATGCAGCAGCACTTGGTAGGTCACATATTTCCCACTGCTGCTAGAACAGCTTCCCACTGTCTTTGCCTGTTCTTTAAGCTTTTCTTATTTATGTAGAAATAGTCTCTTTTCCTAGTCTTAGCCTTTCTGTGAATTTAAAACTAGAGCTGAGTGAAAGTGCCTCCCTAAATTATCCATCCTATTATGGCAGCAAAACTGGGAGTACCACTTTACCAAGTATTCCCCAGGGGAGGGAGGGAAACTCATTTAAGCATTTCTTAGAGCTAAAGCAGTGGCACTTCTCCGACAAGTCATTCAGTGCTGCTGCAAGCAGGAGCAAAAGTATTAGCCACGTGGCCACCATTTTGCTTCTCCCAGAATGCCCCAGACCCAGCATTGTCCTGGGGCTTTACAGAGCAGGAAGGAAAAGACAGAAAATATTTGGAAAATATTGTACACAGTTGCCCTGTTTCTTCCTTTTCCCAGGGAGGTGGGGGAAAGAAGCTTGTCAGAAAAATCTCTTCTGAGAAATTGGTATAAGCATTTTAATTCACACTCTTACCAAAAAAAAAAAAGGGGGGGTTTCTAATACAAAAGTGGGTGACTTTACACCTGCCAGGGGCCTCCATCTCTGCCTCCTCATATATAATTGCCATTAAGTCAGAATGTTGTTACCTTTGAAAGCCCCGTGGAAATAGCAGGCATTTTACATAATGTAATGGGACACATTTTAATGGGTTGTGCTTGAAAGGCCCCAAGGCACAACCTCCACACCCTGCGTGGTGCCCTTGCGCAAGCTCTTGTTCTCCTAGGAAAGGGCCATGCTGTGCTGTATGATGAATGAAGCTCTCTCCCTTTCCCTGGTTTTCCAGTTTTGGTGTGCCCTGCCTGCCCCTGGGGCCTTCTGTGATCTTTTGTTTTGAAACCTGTATTCAAGTCAAGACTGATGGATGCCAAGGGCACTTCCGGGCACTTTCTGGGCACTTTCCAAAGGGCTACTGATAAGATGCTCCTGGGATTGCGCCTTCTCTTCCATTTGGAACTGTTGGTGCCCTTTCGAGGTGGTGTGAGGGGGAACTGTAAGTGCCGGGCCTGCTTGCTCCTGGCGCTCTGCCTCTGAAGCAAGGGAATGTTCCCAAGGCCAGGGCAGCTGGCAGGCGGAACGGTTACCCGAGAAAGGCTAACGCCCTATGCCTGTTACAGCCTTCCTTTGGGAGAGATGGAAGTGCTCCAAAGGTGCCTCACACACACACATTTCAAACAGAAGACGCTTCCTCGTGTCAGGTCTCTCTGTTAGGGCTGCCGGTTCTGTCCAGCAGGGATCCTTCAGTCAAGGCACAGCCCAGTCCTCAGACATCTCCCTGCCGTGGCTGCCTCATGCTCAGGCCCCACAGAGGGTTCCGTGGCCCCAGACTGTTTGTCCAAACTGCCTCCCTCTGTCCCATGTATTTGCGCCTGCAGCTCGCAGGATTGGTGCCCGTCGTCATGCTGGCAAGGGTGGGCAAGAGTCCAAGTCGCAAGCGCCTGGGGAGCACCGGGTTGGCGAAGGAGGGGTTGCAGAAACGCACTTTTACACCTGCCGGTGTGTGTGCCTTTCCCTCCCTAGAAACAAAGGTGTGCGATGAATTGCCGGGCGACTCTGCGGAGCACCACATCATGGCAAACCCCATGGCTGACTTTGTCGGGGGCCAGGAGGACCGGGCCCACCGGTTGTTCCACCATTACAGGAAGCGGTTTGGGAAGAACTACGACACGGAGCGGGAGATGGAGCACCGGAAGCACACCTTCACCCACAACATGCGGTGAGTGGCTTGCGAGGCCGGGCAGGGCAGGGCAGGGCAGGGAGAGGTGGGGAAGTGGCAGCGGCAGCGGTCGGAAGGAACGGAAGAGAGAGAGCGACTCGGAGAGGCATTTAGCTGCCTTGGTTTGCTCACAGAGCCTCTCATTCTCTGGCATAGACATCATTTTCCAGAATGCCCAGTAGATGGAGGTTGCGCAAGGGATAAGCAGAGTGCACTCTGCTCATGCTCAGATGTACTCTCTCATCTTTACATGTGCTGGTGAAGACTCAACCCTACCATTTTAATGCAGGGTTCTAGGTCTGAGCCTTCAGTCAAATCAAGACTTCAGTGGCCTTGAGCCTTACATGAAAATCTAGCCATGTGCTGGGACACTTTATTTATTTCAAGTATTCTCATTCTGCTTCTTGTGCAAAAAGGCTCCCAGAGTAGTGTAAGAATAATCAGAAAAACAAGACAGAGCAGGGTTACAATCTAAGAGTGCACAATACTTGAGGAAAAAGAATGTGGAGGGATGAGGAACAAAATATTAAACTCTGCTGGCTGGGGCATGCTGGGAGTTTAAGCCCTTACCTGTCTAAACTTGCACAGAATCGCATTTCTAATGATAAAACATTGTACACAGAACTTAAGTCAAAGCAGCAGATAATAAGGGCATTAAGCCAAGTATTCAAATAGGTACTGAAAATGTCATTGGACATCAACTGCCTTTTGCTACTGAGGCTGCAGCGTACAACAGAGTTCTCAGGTCGCACAGATGGGGTGCTACCACAGAGAAGGCCCCCCTCCCATGCCTACCCAGCATACCTTGCCTAGTGGGGGAGGTACCTGAGGTTACTTCACTGGATTCTTTGCAGCCCAGAAACAGCACGAGGGACGTGAACCAGGCACAACTTACCTTGAAATTAAATGAAATTATTGCCTTTCTTCACTTCCATAATGCCACGGCTTGTGACAGAGAAATCTCTGACTGCTGGAAAGTTGGTTGACAGCTGAAAGCTGGAGCTGGCCTCTCCCTGCACCTTTCTCTTATAATGGCCTTCCTGTGCTTCCCACACCCTTCCCTCAAACCCAGGTTTGTCCACTCCAAGAACCGAGCCAACCTCCCCTTCAAGATGGCCCTGAACCACTTGGCTGACCTCACACAGGAGGAGATCGCCGTGATGAGGGGGAAACTCAAGAGCACAGCACCCAACAACGGGCTGCCTTTCCCCGAGGAGTCGTATGTGGGCCTCATCCTGCCAGAGAGCTTGGACTGGCGACTCTATGGTGAGTGGTGTTGGCAGACAGCCCGAATGGGCAAGGTGCCATCAGAACAGGGCTGCGGAAGGCTGGTGGGGTGCGGTGGAGGGTCTGGATTACCTTGACGTCTTTGGACCCCATCCATCCGCTTCCCTTCCCAGTGCTCAAGTCTTTTGCTACCCGTGTCTTGGCTGTTATCCACTTTCCCTGCTAGGACGGATCCCTCCAGGGGCAGGACTTTGAGCTCAGCTCTGAGCCACAGGAAGCTCTGTGGGTTCTGCATGCCTGCATTATGGGATGGCCGTCTTTGTGGTCTTTGAGACTACCTGCCTGTGAGGTCCTCTTCGGATCTCCGCACACTCTGGCCGATTCACGAATCCTCTGTGCCAAAGCCATTGAGAAGCAATGCAGGAAATGGCAAGAGATGCTTCTCATGCTTTTCAATTAAAACGGAGTGATTCGCCCATCTCCCAGCAAGGGTCCCACCCAGGTCTCTCTCTTCTCTGTAGGTGCAGTGACTCCAGTCAAAGATCAGGCCGTGTGTGGTTCCTGCTGGAGCTTTTCTAGCACGGGAGCCCTGGAAGGGTCTTTGTTCCTCAAGGTAAGAGTTTGTCCAACCTACTCTGAGCTGATGTCCTGGCCACAGTTCCCCTAATTCCCAGCCAAAATGGCCAGTATCTTTCTCTAATGAAACAGAAAGAAATTAACACGTGATAATAGAGTCAGGATGTGAGTGCAATTAACGCAAGAGAGAGCCCTTAGAAGAATTTGGACCAGTACAGTGCCCTCCAAATGCTTTGGACTACAACTCCCATCATGCTGAGCCATTGGCTGTGTTGGCTGAGATCTATGGGAGTTGTGATCAAGCCCAACTGAGGAAGGCTGTCTCATCATTTTGTCCATTTTGAAAGGTGTCTGATCGCCATCCTGATCGCCATCCTATTCTGATCCCTCCAGCCTTTCCCAGGGAAATGCTGACTTTGAATTGACAGCACTGGACCTGATGGACCCATAGTCTGGCTTGGGATAAGACGGCTTCCTTTCTTCCTACAATTGGCACCAAACCTGATATCTGCTTCTGTCCCATTCCCCAGACCGGGCAGCTCATTCCGCTGTCCCAGCAAATCCTCATCGACTGCTCCTGGGGCTTCGGCAACTATGCCTGTGACGGTGGCGAGGAGTGGCAGGCGTTCGAGTGGGTTCTGAAACATGGCGGCATTGCCAGCACGGAGTCCTACGGACCCTATAAAGGACAAGTGAGTAGCCAAAATGTATCTACCGGGGTATCGGGTGTCACCAGTTCTTGTGTACAGAGGGCCAGTATGGGTTGAGATGTGCTCTGAAAGGGGGAGGCGGCACATTACCAGCTGGAATTTTGAGAGGGTCGTGTGAGCGCTTGCACAATATGGCTGCCATGGGGAGTCGGCTTGCCCGTTCCTGCACTTGCTGTCATGGGGAGTGAGGCTAGTCACAAAAGACTCACTTCCTAGAAGGCAGATTGGTGAGTCGGAAAAAAGTTCCTTGCCAAGAACCTACGCAGAAGGGCAGTGGAGGTGGGGAGGAGGTTGCGTTCCAAGACACACAACCACTCTTTTGAATCCAAATGGATGTGGTGCTAGAAGGCAGCCTTTCACCTCGCCAGCCTTCAGGTCAGCAGATCTTGGTGCCTGTGCCAGTGACCAGCAACCTCAGGCCTGCAGGCCAAATCTTGCCCTCTGGGGTTCTTTGAAGGGTGGCGCTCTCTCCTCACCCACTGCTTTTCTCTCGCCCACCTATTATTTGGCAGCTTCCCAGCTTTTATGCAGCCTTCCTCTCATTCTAAAAAGTTGAAATACTTCTCCTAAGGTGTAGTTCAGTGGTAATACGAATTTTAATCTAATGTAAGATGCGTTGACTCCATCAAGGAAGTCACAGCCTTGCATTTGCAAGAGCTGAGTGGGGCTGTCCATGACGGGACATGTTGGAAGGCTTTCATACATAGGGTCACCATGAGTTGGGGACAAGTTGGCAGCACATAACAAAAACACAAAGAATTTAAAGATACAACATGCTAGGTGGTTTAGTATTTTTGAGTCCACTCCTTTCAGTTCACCGCAATTCAAGGCAATTCATTTTGCCTTTGGCCCTGGCTGAGAACTCTTCCAAAATTGGATTTGATCCCCATGCTGTGAGAGAGGCTCCTTGCCCTTGGCGTATGGAGCATGAAATATCTCTCCTGGACCAGTGGTAGCTGATTTGCTAGATTCCAGGATCTGTATGGAGGAACCGATCCCTCCAGAGAACATTCAAGGACTGCTTAAGCAGGGGTGGCAAGGAAGGTCAGTGAAAAGATGAAAGAAAACTCTGGTTTTTCCTTGGTTTATGATGCACGGACCTTCTTGTCTCTGTCAGAATGGCTACTGTCATAGCAACAAGACGCAGCTTGTGGGCAAACTCTCAGGCTATGTCAACGTCACCTCTGGGAACATCACAGCACTGAAGACGGCCATCTTCAAACACGGCCCTGTCTCTGTCAGCATCGACGCTTCCCACAGAACCTTCTCTTTCTACTCCAACGGCGTCTACTATGAGCCCAAATGCAGTGAGTCCCAGCCTGCTGTGTTGATGTGGGAAACTTTAAATCCACTTTCCTTTCTTGGGATACTTCCCAAGGGCGATTGCATCAATGGGTATTTGATCTCAGAGGGTTCTCTCGAGGAGCAAAGGTGCTCTTCTGGGTTTTTTGTGGTAAAATGAGATTTTGTGGTAAAATTTCCACCACAATATTCTTTGCCCTGTCTCAGCGGACACCATGAGGCGAATTATCTTCTAATTTGAAAGGGCTGGGCACTGAAGCTGCAACGGTATACCCATGATTTGACAAAAAGTCCCATTGAACTCAAAGAGATGCAATGCTGAGAAGACATGTACAGAATGGAGCTTCTGAGAAGTGGATGTTTCATAGGCAGGTGCTTCAGGCTGAAATTCTGTGCCCCTGTACCTGTGAGTGAGACCCATTGTACACAGTGAAACTTTATTTCTAGATAATGTGGATAGGATTTCTGTGCCAGACTGCTTCTTTAGTAGATAAAGTGGACACCAGCTATGTTCACCTATAGTTCTAGAAGTGTCTCGTTTGGCCTGAGAGCAAGTGAAATGGGAGCCTTTGAGTGCCCCATCATGGTTGGCTGCTCAAGAAAACCCAGCTGAGCTCATTTGTGTGCAGGTAGGAGGCAGAAAACTCTGCCACGTGGCAGCCAGCTGAGGATCCTCGTGCTATGTGGAATCGTGGATTGGGCAAGTGCACCACAAGGGTTGTGGCTGCTAATTATCCTCGAACACAATCCTGCCTCCTGCAAGCACTGCAGGGTGTACTGCATGTCTCCTTGCCCCTCACAGCTGCATTGTACAAATGTCCCCACGTTGCAGATGGGATTTGGGACAATTAGAGCCTATTTGTGACTTACTCAGAACCATCCGATGACTTGCATTGAACAACTGCCCCCCCTACAAATTTCTACAAATCCCTCTCCCCCTCACACACACACACACACACCAGAGCCAGCCAGCTTCACTGGAAGGAAAACAAAGGTAGCCATGTTGCCCTCATGAAGCACTGCAAGATCACAAACAGTGTGCAAGCTTTCAAGGTCATAGACTAGTAGACTTGAAAGAGTTGGGTTGGCCATTAGGTCCAACCCCTGCTGTTGCAGGACACACAGTCGCACCGTCCCATTCAGGGGGCTGTCCGGATGCTTTTGAATGTCTCTTTTTGATCCCTTGTCGGTGGGCAGGATGCATGGTAGGCTCCAGTTGCGGTGGAGACGATGACGAGTTGTTGCAGCCAGCAGGTCTTCGCGGTCAGAATCTTAAGATGATACGGAGGAGGGCGGCTTGTAGACGCTGAGACTGGGCTCTGCCAGGGAATATGATGGTTTCATGTTTCGGTGCCTCTGGCACCACTAGAAGAAAGTTGCAGGCAATTGTAGACCATCTATTGTTGCAAAATTAAATCCAGGTGTTAACTCAAAGCTCTCCTTATCTGTGGTGAACCAGGCAGGTTCCTTGGGTGGTGGAAGCCAGAAGTAGAAATAAAGACTATCTGATTTATGTTAACAAAAGTGGAGATAAATTCAGTTGCTGTGCCCGGTAAACTGTGCATTTGGGTTGGACAGTCTCCTTTTCTCTTATTATGCGAGTGGGTGTTCTCTGCTGTTGGAAGGGTTGAACTTGCAGCCTTCCAAGCTGCAGGGAGATGGTCTTACCGCCTGGCTCGGTGTCCGTGTGTTGCCTTGCTTAGTAGCCCTTGCTAAAACTTCCATCTACACGAAGTTGACTGTGTTTTCCTAACTCCCTTTCAGAAAACAAGAGGGGTGAACTGGACCATGCCGTCCTCGCAGTTGGCTATGGTGTACTCCAGGGAGAGCTGTACTGGCTGATCAAAAACTCTTGGTCCACCTACTGGGGCAACGATGGCTACATCCTCATGTCCATGAAAGACAACAATTGTGGCGTAGCTACTGATGCCACCTTCCCACTTATGTCATGACCAGACCCTGCCATGGCGAGCTCCTTTGGGCAATTGCAAAGATGATCCAGTGCCAATTTTTCTTCCCACGGAAATCAACATTCCCTCAAAACTGTCAAATGTCTTTTACATATTCATGTGCTGGAATCTTAGTCACAGAACCAGAAGAGACTCAGGGAATTCTTTCTTAGCTTTTTAATTGATTTTTTTCTCCTTTTAAGTTATTTTCTACTTGCTACCTTGTAAGCTGGTTTGTGATGGCTGTTTTGCTACTAAAAGTGGAAAATAAATACCAAAACAAACATACAATCTGCCCTTTTGGGCAGCACCTTGTTGGAATAGGAATACCCTTTCACTCTTGAGCTTTTCTGCATCCCAATCCTCACAGGGCTTTATCCAAAACTTCTGAAGCAAGTACCTGATTAGTCAATCTCTCATCTTTCATCACTCTTTTTCCTTAAGTATTCCAGTTGGAATTGACATTTTCTAGGTTCTTCCTAGCCCTTTTACTGTGAATACCTTGCATTCTCAACAGAAAACCTGTGAAATAAAGCAGGTTGTCTTACAATGGAGGAAAGACCAGAGAGTCAGTGTGGTGTAGTGGTTAAGAGCATGGGACTGGGACTCAGGCGATCTGGTCCCAGCTCGGCCATGGAGCCAACTGGGTGACTTTGGGCCAGTCACAGACTCTCAGCCCAACCCACCTCACAGGGTTGTTGTTGTGGGGATAAGATGGAGGAGGAGAATGATGTAAGCTGCCTTGAGCCCTTTGTAGGAAAAAGGCAGGATATGAATCGAAGAAAAAAAAAAGTGGGGTGAATCCCCTAAGCAGAGTCCGTGTCCATGTCTTAGACATCCTTGCGACGAGAATGATGGAGTCTCTTATGCCATACTGTGGAATTACATCTGACTAACCTCTGTTCTCGAGCCTCCATGATGGTTAGAGGATTGCCCCAGATTCAGCATGCGAACTGTTTGAAGAGCAGGCTGTTAGACAGCATAATTTTGTAAGACGATCGGAAAGTTTCTTTTAACTAGAGCAAAGTTCTCAAAGCAACTTACAACACAAATACTAATTTGCTGCGCGAAGTCTGTTGCAGCAAAAGTAACTATTTCATGTGGATTAGTAAATAATCAGTGACTTATCCCCTCCCCCTTCATGCCTCTATTTCTTAAAAATAGTTAATTTTTTTTAAAAGTTTCCTTGATTGAAAACAAAACAAATGCGAACAGTTAGGAACATACATTTAATATTATCTATATTCCTTTCCTCTCTCACCCTTACATCAAGTTACATAAAATAAAGTCCTTCAGGATGCATATTGGTTGTAAAACAGTTAATAGTCATAACAATTTGTTACAATTTATATTGTAAGCCATCCCGAGACAATTGGATTGTATAGAATGGGATGAAAATATTCTAAATAAATAAATGAAAACAATTTATAACTTGCTAGTACCATCCTCCCATATTCAGTTACCTTATTAAATTCAATAAATGGAAACCAAATAGTCTCAAAAGAATCAAACATTCATTGGCCTTTCTTAATCTATAATTTGGCTATTACAGCTGTAATGTTCTTATAATCCACATTCAATAGTGCGATAGAGCTGACCAATCTTTAAAGAGATTTGGAATAGTTACTATTTTAGAATACTTCCAAGTCTGAGGAATAGGATCTGCACCAAGGATATCATTTAATAGATTGTTCATATGCAAAGTTACTAAATTCTTGAAATGCTTTTAAAAAGGGGCAGAGAAACCATCTGGCCTTGATGCCTTATTGGGTTTCAGCTTCTTAAGTGCTTCCAAGGATCTCCCCCATCTCAACCCTAGCATTTGGTATTTCTGTCTGAAGCAGAGAGATGCTGAGTACAAGTATTCAGCAATTTCTGTACATGAAGGAGAAGAAAAAGTATACAGATTTGAATCAAAGCACCTTAATTTCTCACACATTTGGAGACTTGAGTAACAGGATTCCTCTCTTTTGTCTTGTAAACAGTGTGTCCTTGCCTTCTCTCTCTTCCTTAAACGATTAATGGCAAATCTTGAGCCCTGTCCTCCATACACATAAAATCTTTCTTGCAATTTAATTACATTAATTGAAGTCATATTTAGTTCAAGAACTTAGAATTCTTTACTATTTTGGGCATATAGCCTAAGGATTCTCTAAAGATCCTGATTGATTATACAGTTGGACCCCTGTGTCCATGGGGATAGGTTCCAGCCCACCCCAGAGGATGCCTGAAACAACAGATAGTACTTGTAGCAAACGTTATATACTGTACAAGCTGTACATACCTATGATAAAGTTTGATTTGTACATTAGGCACAGTAAGATATAACAATAAATAATAAAATTGAACAATAATAAAACAATTATAATAAAAGTTATTTAATTTCTACACCTCTCATTAACCAACCTCCTAAATTTCACAGAAATTGCCTATTTATGCTTCCAAACACTTTTAAGATACATTAATTCTCAAAACCATAGATAATACATCAAGGTATCCCCAGCTGGGATCAGAATTAAATTTACTGCCTCCAAACATGAGAATGAATTCTCACAAAGCCCAGGCTATCTAGAGAGACCATACACTTGACGACTTCTGCAGTCCAGGGTGCCTAAATTCCTATCTGGTCTGGGAATCGGGCTTATTCTTTTGGCTTCCCTTTTCCTCACTGCCTGGGACTACCCCACTGATTCCCGTCCTGGTTATGAGATAACTCCTTCTGCATTCTACCCTATTGTTTTACCTTCGTGTGCCTCTAGCAAACTGCCCACATGATTCCCCCCCTTCCTCCAAACTGTGCTGTGACTGATAGCTTATAAAAACATCTTGTACAGACTCCATCTTGGCAGTCCCTTTGGGGGCTGCCTACATGCCGTGTGTATTTCCTGTATGTCTGAATAAAGTGTAAATGTTCCTTTGATTGTACACCCCCATTGCACCTGCTCTCTGGGTTTTTCTTGTCACTGCCAAGGACCAAATATGATGGATTTAAGTGCAAGCGCAGCTCTGCTCATAAGAGTGCTTCTTGCGTAGTGTCCTTGCTGTGAGGTGAGCATGATAACGTGAGGACCGTTTTCGTACATGCGCCTCTTCCAAACTAAAAGGTGCCTCCAAGCTTGTTTTGTCCTACCTCTAGGAAGATACGCTGCTGTTCAAAGTTGCCTGCAAGAAACAGCTGGGAATATGCAACATCACTTTCCTTGACTTCCCAATGCAGCCTTTATTACAGATCCCATCAGCCCCAGACAGCACACCCTATTGCCTATACTGGTTGGGTGTCATTGGAAGTTGTAGTATCACAACACTAGACTAGGACTTATGTGTATTTCCATATTTATCTATTACAGATATACATCCTGCCTTGTACTTAAAGGCTTTCAAAGTGGCAGATGTCAAGAAAATACAGATAAAATCATTTTTTTAAATTAGAATGTGAACAATAGATCAGCTGAGCACAGCAGGAAAGGAAACACCCAGCCCATGCAAAATGCCTGCAGCAACCATCCAGCTTACCTGTCAAAAGCCTGGCTGAGTAAAAACAGCGTTCTCCTGCAGGAGGCAACCAGAGGAAGCCTGCCCTCCTGGTTCTGGAAGCAGCAACCTACCTAACCCAACAAGCCCGCTGCTGGAGCTAGTGGAATAGAGAAGGGCTTCCCCAGCATCTCTCAAAACCTGGGCAGACCCATATGGAAGAATGCAGCCTGTCCATTTGTTTCTTGAATAGACGTATGCACTGCAGATCGTATGTTGAGATACCTCGAAGCAGCACATCTGTCCCTAAGAAGCCTGGCCCTGGGTCTCATTCTGATTTGTAGGACGTCACCAGCAGTTTGAATTGTGCCTGGAGACAGACCATTAGCCAGCAAGGCAGTTTCGGGCTGCGTCTCACCTCCAGTCGGCCAACAGCCTGCTGAATGCGCAGGAGCGTCTCAATGCTTTGAAAGGGGCTTCCACATGGAGCACATTGGGTTGTGTTTGGACTGTTACGACTGTGGCCAGAGTAGCTCTCGCCCTTTGCGGGAACAGTGAAGGAAACGCACTCCGCACCTCCTAAGGAGCACTCCATATTTCCAGTGGCAAAGCTCTGCAAATGAAGACAAGTTGAGCAGCCAAAGCAGATGTTACTGGTGGGCAATTGGGGACCCTCCAGATGTCGGGGCCTATAGCCAGCGTGGTGGTTAAAGCCTTGTGCTGGAGACCTGGGGGATCCAGGTTCTAGTCTTCTCTCGGCCATGAAGCTTACAGAGGGACTTTGGGGCAGTCACGGCATCTCAGTCCAACCTACCTCACAGGGTTGCTGGGAGAATAAAATGCAGTGGAAGAAGACTATATAAGCTTGAGTTCTTCAAGAGGAAAAACGGTGGGCTGTAAATGCAATGTAATGGAAATAGAGCTCTCAATCCATCAGCCCCAGCCCGTGGCGGAAGATGGCATGGCCTGCAGACTAGAACCAGTGGTTTGGTAAGGAAACTAGAGCACTAAGGAACAGTTCAGGAGGAAAACCAGTGGCCCCACAGCTCTGTAGCAGAGCACCTGCTGCACAGGCAGAAAGTTCCAGAGTCCATCCTTGTCATTTCCAGTTAGAAGGGTCAAATGGCAGGTGGTGGGTAACTTGTATGGTTGACAGAGATCTAGAGCAGCTACTGAAAAGCAGGCAATGGAGAAATCGTCTGACTCGGTCGAAGGGCGCTTCCTCTTGCAGGCAAAAAGAGAAGCCACTGCAAAGCCACACCTGCAAGCAGCCAAACCGCCTCACCCACCCACCAGGCATCATCGTAATGACACCTTTTCCCAGAAATACCTGTGAGCATGTGGTAAACACCCCTTCCAACTGTGCTGAATTGCAAGAGTGCAGAAATGTCAAGGGGAAAAGACAACCAACAAGGGCAAAAAGATGGCCCTGCCACATCGCTCATGGGCCTCATGGAAGCAATTAAGGTTGTGAGCAGCGTTATTAAAGGCTGGCTGTGCTTCTGGTGTCATTAACGCAGGTTGTAAGCATTACACCGGCTGCTTGACGCACACCAGTTATTAATGTGGATAATAACTGCTGAGAAAGTGTAGCCAAAATCAAAGGCTTCTGTAACCTGTAAAGATAAATGCTTACTCAAGGAGCATGTCTTGGTTAGCTGAACCTGCCTGAAGCAATTTCAGCGGCCTGGGCAGGGGAGTAAAGATGCATCAATCCCCTAGATCTGTCCCGCCCTGCCCTGCTGCTGGGAATTGTAGTTCTGGGATGGAGCTGAGTGCTGGGAATCTCCAAGAGACAACGCTCAGAATCTCTGGTCAACTACAGTCTCCAAGGGGGCAACAGTGAAACACATACAGCAACTACAAAGTTATACTGTAGATACTCCTTTGGTCCAGGGGTGCAGAAACCCGTACCAGGGCAGCCCTCGGGGTCTCCAAATGGCCACTCCCTCTTTCCCTGTCCATCAATCATTCAGTGGCTTCCTGGCTCATATTATTCCCCAGTGCTGCCGCCATCTCCTTCTAAAAGGAGGCAGAAATGCCTCTCCTAAGAGTAAGAACTTTAACCCCAAATGAGTTGGGGTTTTGTGTTTTGTGCACTGTGGCTCCAGAGAATTGCTCCAACATGGAATTCTGTCCTTGGACTTAAATGGCAACACCCTTGCCTTAGGCACTGTTCCAGTCTTCCATTGGCCCTGGAAAGTTCAGGAGTTCTCCGCACTCCGTATATTTTTAGTGCTCAGTCAGATGGTTGGTTGCCTCCATCCAAGAAGGAGCCTAGCAATCAAAGGCTACGCTAGCTGATGAGTTGCGGACTGATTTAAGATGGTAGGAAAACTCAGTTTGTAGTTGCAGAGCAACTTAAAGATACTCCACTCATCATCTGCTCCCGGAGGATGTTGGACTGATGGGGGACCCCAGGATCCCATGAGGCATGACACCCCGCACTTGGCTGCACCGCCATCTGGTGGATCGGTTGTCGCAAGGCGGCAATGAGAAGCCGATGCCGCTGGATCCTTATTCAAGCCAGATAAGTCATCTGCAAACCAGTCACACCAGAGGAGGCAGCTGCAGTCCACCCAAGCGACTGATCTCATTCTGCAACAGTTTCTACAAGCAATATCCGTGGGTGTGGAGCCAAGGGACACACGTCCCTCCGCTCGCAGCCAAGGGCTTCTTTCCTAGCATAGACACACGTGGTCCAGATTTGGACTGAGAACACTTCACGCCAGGCGTACGGGACTGAGCCTTCTGCACCAGCACCCCCGCCATTCCCTTTGCGATTGTCAGGCTGTCTGAGCATGGCAGGAGTCATTGCCCAACCCCCGTGGGGAGCTCCATGTTGCAACAGGCCATTCCAAGGCACCTTGGCAAACCCATCTGATGTTGCGAAAGGACTTGAGCTAAATTGGATTCCTCATTGTGCCATCCTGCAGGTTACAGGCATAACAGAAATTTCCGAGAGCATCCCCACTGATTGGGTCAGACCTTGTGACATTTTTGAGGGCAAAGATTGCATAAGGAATGGTTCCTCCGCTTCTTCCTCTTCTTGGGAACCTGTGCTCCAGGTGAGGAAGGAGAGGTTGCATAAAGGCCTGGAAATATTAAAGTGGGCCGTGAGGTCATTCCCATGCTAGGCACATTTCATGGCACCAATGCTGGCAGGCAGGAAGCCTTGGTTCTGAGCAGAAGCTGAGCCTCGGGCTATTGCAAGCAATGGGTTTCTGTTCCTGGTATGCCGGAGAACACATTTCCGCTGGGCTCCAAGGCCAGGCAGGCTGCCCAGCATGGGACGGTCCCAGTATGGAAGCTCATGGCACCCTCTGTTGATACCAGAGGACTAGCAAACGTTCTTCCAAAGCCAGGATGCTGCCTCACTGAACATCTGCCTTAGCCAGCCGGAAGAACTAAAAGCGTGTGCAAGGAAAAAGGCTGTGCAAGGAGGAGTCGTGCTGATGCACCGCTTTGCCCCCACACGCTGACAGTGAGGCACTTCTTCTGTGCGTGATGGAGAAAACAGCAGAGTCAACTCATGGGCATCATGGCGGGCGATGCCCATCTCTGCTCCTCGGCCACTCCAACCGTACGTCGCGCCAGAGGCAGCGCAGATCACTGCCACGGAACCATGTCTTCGCGGCAGCAGCAATGCCTGTTTCCTGCTGCCAGCCGTGGCGGCAGGGGCTCTCAGTCCAGCACCATGGTGGGCCCCAGATGTTGTCTCTTGCTGCCCCTGGGACTTTGATGGCCGTGGGGAGAAGGGAGACACTCAGTGCTCTGCGCCTTCTCCCAGATGAACCAACCCCATTCTAGATCGAACAACTTTTATTGCCCCACACCCAGCCTTCCCCAACCCCTTGCCGTCCAGATCTATGTGTTGGACTTTATCTCCCTTCAGCCCCAGCTAGCTGGGGATAATGGGAGGTGCACTCCAACATATCTGGAGGGCACCAAGCTTGGGAAGACTGTACTGCAATCTTCAAGGACTTTTCCTGCTGCAAGCATGTCCCTACAATCACACAGCTTGTTAACATGGGCTGGGTTCACAGAACATGACCCTCGTGTCTTGAAAACCTGGGATGCATTTGTCAGGCTGCTCTGCTTCTGGCTTAGAAACCGCCTTCACATTTCATAGCTTGTAGCTGGGGTTGTTTGACCCATGATGGATTCTCATGCCGTCTGAACTGCAACATCACGCACCGTGGATTTAACCCAGCTACAAACAAGTCCCTTAACCAGAATCGCAGAATTCCCTTGCCAAGTGGCTAGTTCCACTGAGAGCTGCCCCACCCCTGTGCCCTGCGGGGGGGGGGGGGGCGGCAGTGCAGCTGCTCCCACCCCTGCTGCCACAAGCCACTTCAGCCCAGAGAGAGCAGTGTGAATGCTGCTCCAGTTGGATGCACAGCCAGCCTGCTGCCACGCCGGCCACAGAAAGTTTCCTGGCGTGGCAGCTGAGGGTGCAACTATCCACTTTCCTACGCGCAAGACTGTGTGGAGCCCCCAAGGAGCTGGGCGTAGTGGCGGTGGCCGGGATTACTGCCAGGGAGCTGGGGCAGCAAAGGCTGTCCCCCCTCTGCCTGCCATGGTGGTGAGACCTTCCAGGTGGAGCTGGGATCCTGATGAGGAGGATACGGAACATCCTGCCCGGAGTATCGACCAAACAAATGCAGTAGTAGGCGGTCATGACGAGTTCCTATTTTTATCTGACACTTTATACAAAAGTGGCACAACCTGCAGGCAAGTATTGGTGGAAGCAGACTCCTCCACGATTAATCATGCAGTTCTGTAGGCATCTTCTCCAGTGGGACATACTCTGGCTGAGTAGACTGGGATTACAGCATGAGTTAATTAGTATTTGTAGTGGGACAAGATACGATGATCTTGATTCAAGTCAGCCCCTGCCCAGTGCACAAGTATAGCAACTGGTACAGCCCAGTGAAAACAGCTGTTGACTGCCTCTGGTTTGCCTCTCTCTCCTCCTCCCACAGAATTGGAGTAGTCAATTATAGGAGAGGAATGGAAAGGGGCCTTTCATAAAAGCAAATAACTTTTCTCCCTAGCTCAACCTCTGCAAAGGGACACCCTCCAGAATTCCCAGCATCCCCAGCCAGCAGGACCATGGGTTGTGTTGGATGGAGAGGAAGACAGTTACGAAGTTATGAAGACTGGAACTGGAGAAGACTACCCTAAATTTTTGAAACTACACCATCCAGTCCCAAAAATGCTGTCTTGTTTCACCCTACGGAGGGGTACTAGTAATGGTTAGCGTGCAGTCATACGCTGCGGCATGCTGGGAAATGTAGGACTTTTTTCCATCCAAACACACACAGCATAGTGCGCTTAAATATGCTTTCAGATGCTTCATTATGTTGCTACCAGAACACATAATTGGCAGCAATTGTCTGCATACACAAATGGTCTTCCATTATGGAAGCACCAGGAAGGAAGGGGGATATATTTTACAAGTACAATTGACCCATGCATTCAAAATGCAGGATCAAAACACATGAGCACCACTGATAGCAAGAGTTTCTTTAGGTAGGTGTGTTCTTTATTCCAATATATGAAATTCCAGAATATGACTTGTCACAGCATAATAGAAACAGATATATGTTGAATGCATTATATTTAATATTAAACATAGTAACACAGACATGGACAGCTGCTTTAGGTCAGACCCTCCATCTTGCTAGTCCAGTAAAGTGTATTTTGGAAGCAAAATGTCTCCAGGTCTCAAGGAAGAGAGAGATATTTCATGCCAGTTGCAATGCATTCCTTCTGGGTGGAATATCTTGGATTTTACCTGGAAGCTTCTTCATGTAGAGCGCATGCTTTCTCAGTCCACCATGCACCACCATGCACCTCCAGGCCACACTACTCAGCCATGGCGCTCCCACCCCCAAACTGATCGGGATAATGCCCTGCCTATGGAGAATCGAACCGCTCTGGGCCTGCCAACAGCAGTCTTTTAATTTGCCTCTTTCGCAGTGCCTTGAGCGGTCACTTAATCTACCAACATGAGAAGGCAGTGGTGCTTTTGAACTCCAGCTGTTTCCTGCTCATCTAAGGTGCTGCAGAAGGCCCAAGAGCAGAATGGGATTTTCTGCTCAGTTGGCAGACTTACTTTAAAACAGGGTATATGGCAGCACTGGCGACCCCACAGTTATTGTCCTTCATTGAAAGGGGAATGTAGCCATCGTTGCCCCAGTAGGTGGACCAGGAGTTTTTGATCAGCCAGTAAGTTTCACCTTGCAGGACACTATAGCCCACAACCAGCACTCCCTGGTTCAAGAGAGTACTATTTCCTGCAGCAAAAACAAAGCAATTAATGGATGCATTCTTTTCAGCTGCCCTGTTTGCAATTTGATCTCACTAGATACACTGTTCTTCAACCCTGGAGCATAAAGCAAGCCCTCATACATTGAAGGGCACAGCAGATTTCCAAGTTATCCCTCTTTTGTGGTGCCTGTGTTAGTCTCAAAAGAAAGGGGACCGATTTCAGAAAAGCTGTTGAGAGACAATCAAATATGCCAGATGTAAAGGACCAGATCTAGGATCTGCCTTCTGCAAGAAGGGCTTCATTCTGCCTGACTTTGGGGGACCCTGCAACACAGCTCAGCCCATCCAGCAGCGTCTCCTGACTTTGAACAGGGTTGCACAATACAGTGAAAGAAGATGAGCCACAGTGACTTCTTCAGACTTTGCTGCACATGTGGACCTTCTCTGGGGGCAGGGGAGCTGCATAATTGCCCCCATTGGCAGTTTGCCCTGTGAGCCCTGGTGAGGGTGGCTGGGCTGCCACAGATAGCAAGCAACCCAGAACCCACAGGCTGTTTCAGAGATCTAACTGCTACCTGCAGCATCGACCCGGTTCATGTGAACCAAGTCCCTGCGCAGTATTTCAGTGGGCTGGAGAAGCTGCTATGAGAGCAGGAGGCACAGGAGCCCACTTCCCCCAGTTCATTCAATCTAGATTAAATCTGGATCCAGCCCAACTTAGGTAGGTGGAGTCAGCAGACTAACAATAAGCAGCTGTGGCCTTATTTGCAAGGCTGTTGAGAAATGCTGGATATCAGTCAATGACTCCAGAGAAAATTTTTGATGTTGTCTTAGATCACACTATCAGTGCATCTACCACATAATGAAGCCATGGCTTAATTGGCAATAATTGACATGAACTTCTGCATACACTCAGGTGCAGCATCTAAGGCCCTCCCCCAGGTGCCTCCTCCAAGGAAGACTCAGAGGTGGGACAAGGAGGAAGGCCTTCTCACTAGTGCTCCCCCCACCCCCCCCCAGTTACGGAACGATCTCCACAGTGAAGTCCATCAACATTATCTTTTCAGCACCAGCTTAACATCTTTTTTTCCTCAGTCATCTGGCAAGATTAGATGAGATTTTAAAACAGGTTTTGAATTTTTTCTCATGAATGGTTAAAATTGTTGTCAGATACATGTGTCCATTATGCTTGTTGCAGTTTTCCCATCTACGAAACTGTTAAAGGTACAAGGGCCCTATTTTCTTCTGCATCTGGTGTCTTACCCTGCAATCGCCACGATAAGATGAAGCTCTCCAAGATTGGGGTAAGGAATATGTCTTGCAAAGTTGGATTCTTCTTTTTATCAATCCTGGCAACATTTCTAGATAGGATCTGCAAAATGAATCCCTAGCCATGGTTGCAGTATTGCCAACCTATCCCTGCAGCCTATCCTGGGTTCGATAGAGGGTGGAACCTGCAAGTTTTGGCCGGCAGCCACCCTTTGTGGCTAGTTTCTACCCCAGGAACCCTAGTTTTTTTAAACCCTGTTTGTGTAAATGGAGCAGCTCTGAAAGAGCGTGTGTGTGTCTGTGTGTGTGTGTGGAGCACAATTATTTATATACATTAAAACCTGGGGAAACAAATGAAGTGGTGGGACCAAAGGCATTATCATGCCAGAGCTGAGTGCTCAGAAATCTTTGTCCAGTTACAAACTTGAAGAAACAGCAGTCAGCAATTGAATGGTTATTGCTGAAGATGTGTCAAAGAAATTCCTTTTTCTTCCAAAAGCTTTCAATTGGATCCAGAAATGCAAAAATTATTAAAGGTCCAGAGGGTTTGTCACTGCTCTAAGAAAACAAAGAATCTTGCAGCACATTTATGCTGGTAAAGATAGCACGTTTATTCTGGCACTGGTGTTCGTAGAGCAGATGTCTGTGATGGGGCTAAGGATGCCAAAAATTGTGCAGTTCATAGAGACAAACTGTATGGAGGCTTCCTGTAAGTGGGTGGGGAGGGGGAGACTGTATTTCCCAGAAAGGTTAGAATGGTACCCTACTGCCATCTTGTGGCAGAGCGGATGCAAAGCACCACTGGAACGGGTGGGGTTGTTTTCCTCCTTTGAGAATGAAATCCAGTGTTGATGTTTTAAGTTCACCTTGCTTTTGCTGGCAGTGGAAGGTGAAGCAGAAGTATTTCGGCTCTGATATAAGAAACATTGGGAAGTCACAGCACGGATGAAACGGGCAACAGGGTTGGGGTTAGGTTTGGAGCCAGGTATAATCAGAAAGACTCATTGGAAAAGACCACGATGCTGGGAAAAATGGAAGGCGAAAGGAGCAGGGGGTGGCAGAGGTTGAGGTGGCTGGATGGGGTCCCTGGGGAGGTGGGTGCGGGTTGGGTGGACTCCGGGGGATGGTGGAGGACAGGAGCACCTGGAGGAATGTTGTCCGTGGGGTGGCGAAGAGTTAAGACTCGACTGCAACTGAACAACAACAAATTGAATCAGGTCCAAAGCTTTAAAAGTGCACAAATGTGTGTTATTATGTGCCCTGAAGTCACCTCTGAATTCGGACTAACCTATGAAAGGAAGCTCTCATATTTTATATTTTTATTTATTTTATATTGTTATTTTTAATTTTATATTGTTATTTTTGTATTTTATTGTATTTTATTGTGTTTGTAAGCCGCCCCGAGGCTTTGGCAAGGGGCAGCATAGAAATGTTCTAATAATAATAATAATAAATAATGTCCTGCCATAGGAATAGGATGTATTTCCCCCCCACCTGACTGTGATGGCAGTCAAGTCATCTCCAACTTATGGCCACCTGTGGATGAAATCCCTCCATAATGGCCTATCCATGAGAGCCCCGCTCAGCTCTTGCAGATTCCGGGCTGCGGCTTCCATTGCGGAGTCCATCCACCTCCCATTCGGCCTTCCCCTCCGCCTGCCCTCGGCCTTCCCCAGCACGGCTGGCTCCTCCTCCAGTGCGCCTCGCCTTCTCTCAATGTGCCAGAAGGACCAGCATTTTAATTTTGCCATCTCTGCTTCTAGGGTAAGTCCTGGCGGCATAAACTCATTCACTTATGCTCTAAAGTGGTGCTTTTCAACCCTGGGTCCGCAGCCGGCGCGCGCGCGCGCGCGCCCCCGCCGGGGAGAGAGGCGCTGCGGCCGCGCGCACAACAGGTGCCTCTCGCTCCCGGGAGCGGCGCGGGCCGGCTATGCTCGCGCTGCAGGCTCCCCCTGGGGGGGGGGGCGCTCAGTGGGAGCCCCCAGGAGCCGCCCCACGCCGGAGCCGCCCTCTGGGCAACACCGCGACCGGGGCTTTTCCTTTCCCCGCTGTTTTCTGCTGGGAAGGGACACGCTGAGCCGGTGCTAAGAGTGTTTTCTCAGCCCGTCTGTGCTGGTATGTATGCGGGTCTGAGGGGGGGCGGGGGGAGGGTTCGTTTATTTCAGTATTTAACATTATGAATATTGTTGCGTTAAGTAACTTTGACTGATTTTGGATGGCTCTGCCGCTAATACAGTATTTGAATTCGTATTCGCTATAAGTATAGTATTGCATTTATATTTTGTATTTTGGTATAGTGATTTGGATCAAGTATTCTTGAAAAGAAGCAACAGCAGATTTCTCAGTAGCCTTATCTGAATTACATATTGCTCTCTAAAAAATCAGTTGTATCCATTTACATTTAATTGCAATATTGTATTCTTTTATTAGCATTTTTCACAGCTCAGTTTCTGGTTATTTTAGAGAATTTTATTTTTTTGCTACTATATTTAGAAACCAATGCACAAAATACCATATTATGTATATAATGTTCTTTATTTTTGCCTCAGCGGTCCCCGAAATAATTATCCTATTTTTGCTGGTCTCCTACTGTAAATAGGTTGAAAACCACTGCAAAGTGTGTGTGTGTGTGTGTGTGTGTGTGTAAGCCACAACCCACCACATTCTGGGTCATAGAAGACACCATTGGCATAGAATGTGAATGACCTTGAGGAGGCATTGATGCTCGCAGCCACGGGTCCATGCTTGAAGGCGGCCTGTTTCAAGGCAGCGATGTCTCCGTACGGGACATTGATGTATCTTGGCACGTTTCCGAGGAACTCTGATTGCGTGTAATGGCAATATCCATTCTGCGAGAGAAGAAAGCCAGGGGGCACCTTGAGAATGTTTGGGTAATAGCAGGGGACTTTCCAAGGGCAGAGCAACAGTGGAGGAGACTCTGCAGCGCCTCTGCAGTGTCAGGCTTACTATTACTTCCAGGCAGGCGTGTGTGCCGTGGCTCTGCAGGGCTGCTCAAGGGGCTCTTGAAAGAGGAAAAGGAGGTTCCATTAAAACAATATCATTTTGGATGCTGTAGCTGCTTCGATTACCTGGCCACGGTAGGGTGCGTGGGACTCGTCGGTTGGTCTGCCACCGTGCTCCTTGGCCCATTCGAAGGCGCGCCATGCGATGCCCCCCTCACCGCCCACGTTCCCAAAGCCCCAGGAGCATTCAGTCAAGGCTTGCTGAGACAGAGGTGCCAGCCATTTAGTCTGGGGAGTCGATGAGAAGAAAGCACAGAGGTCGATCTCAAGCCTTCACTGAAACTCTGCTCACATGCATGACCGTGTGCCAGGTTTTGGTGGGAAAAACTCCTACTGCCCCAGGCTTTCAAAACACGTCTGTCCTACAAAATCTAAAAGATGAGATCCCGCCATGGATCCACATTAAAAGAAGGAGAGGGTGAGATGGGACTTTGCTCAGAGGCAAACCCCGCAGGGCTGGCGCGCACAGCCTGTGGCTGCACGGCCCCAGGACCAGTGAGGGTTGCAACACGGGGTGGAGAGACATGCCTGCCGATTAAGGCCAATGGGGGAGCGTTACCTTGAGGAAGAGGGCAGGGTGGCCATGTATTCTCTCTGCAGAAGACAGTCCTCTGTTAGAAGGGGATGTCTTGTCCAGTTCTGGTTTTGCTTTGTTTTGCCCTTTTTTAGAAGAGCTGTATAAGGTTGGCCATCCATAGGCAGCACGTGGGCAGCAGACTGAACAGGTAGGCCAGAGGTCACCCGCTCATAATGTTCCACACTATGGTGAGATGTACTATTCTTTTAATAATTATTTGTAAATTTGCTACTGTATATAAAAATAGCGTATGAAGGCCTAGTGCAGTGGAGGGGTCAAAAGTGTGGGACTGGCAGTTGACCTGGGTTCTCAGCCATGGAGCTTGCTGGATAACTTCGGACCAGTCCCAGACCCTCAGCCCAGCCTACCTTGCAGGGTTGCTGTGAGGATAAAATAGAGAGCAGACGGAATGGTGAGTTATGAAGATAACAAACAAATAAATACAACAAAGTCCAATTGTGCAAATCATCCCCAAAGCTGCAAAGCTGATTGCAAGTCTGTGGAACCTGCACAAGGTGCTCAGCAGAACCGATCCACTGCAGAGACTGGATTCATAGGCATCCAAGCTCATTTGACTCCACGGTGGATTTTTCTGATATCCCCATAGGAAACACAAAATGACCTTCACTAAGACTTCTCCTTGGCAGAAGAGATACTGGAAGTAAATATCCTTTACTCCGTTAGAGTGAGCTAAATAAAATGTCATGACTCTCAAAATGTGGCCCCGCGTTGCCTAAGGACAGGGCTGGGCCCCTCGAGCCAACCTCCCGTAGCAGCATTCTTGTTTTGGCCAACAACAGGTGGGGAGGAAAAAAGCACAGAGAGTCAAACTGGGAGAAGGCTCAGACTTCATTCTAGAAAGGTTCCTTGTCTGGGTTGCAGCCTGTGACCCTCAGGAGCTCTGGATCTGCCTCTACTGCAAGGATGGTTTTAATTCTCTCATGGGAATCCCTCAGCTCACAGAGGCTGGGCCTCCTTCATCTGAGAACAAAACTCAGGGTGGATCTGGATTTTATGTGTTGTTATGTTTTGTTTTATTTTATGTAAGCCTTCCCGAGGCTATGCGATGGGACGGCATACAAATACTCTAAATAAATAATAAATAATAATAAATAATAAATACAACTCAATTTGTGAGAAGCCTTGGAGGACACAGTTGGGTGGCAGGTGGGACCAGAGAGAATTGGCATGGAGTCAAAATGGGCAGGGCCAAAATGCCAAGAATAACATTTATTTGCTTTTCGGCGCCAGGCAAAGACCTTTTTATTTAAGCAACATTTTAAATGTTAATACTACTGAATTTTATCTGGCCAGGGCAGCTTATTTTATATTGGGTGTTTTAAATTATTATGATTATTTTATATGTATATTTTAACTTATTGGTTTTATTTATTGTTGTAAGCCGCCCCGAGGCTTCGGCGAATGGGCGGCATAAAATAAATAAATAAATAAAACAGCAAAGCTTCCCTCTCCTGCTGGTAAGGAAACTTTAGGAGAAACATTCCCATCTTTGGCCATTGTGGGGTGAGGAAAACATGCAAAGCAGCTGGGAAACTAGCAGTGCATATCTGGATGAAAGTGCCGGGAGGAAACCAAAGGATTCGGCTCATGGGGCTGAGGTTTTGCACTGTTTCCTTAGCCAATTCTGGTAGGGTGGGGAGAGAGCAAGAAGAAAGCTTCCTGCCCCCAGGAGCTTATAATCTAAAGTTCAGCATGGCAGACAAAACAAAAGATGGGCAGAGAAGTCAAGGGAGGAGTAAACAGGAAAAGAAATTGCAGTTCTTTCTGTTGCCAATGTGTAGGCTGGACAATATGCGGAAGGATGCTAGGAAATGTGCACAAGAGGGTTAAGCCAGAGGCACAGGAAATATGGGGCTGAGGAGGAGTTAGAAGGAATAAGAGGCGCGCGTCTGATGACATGAGAATCCCTCATGTCCAACATCAGGAGCAGTGAGGGCAAGAGGGTGAAGTCTTTGGAGGAAGTGGGAGACCTTTTAACAGTACAGGGTGGTAAAGCTGCAGGAATTAATATCATGGGCAGTATCATTATATGTAAAAATGTACAGAAGGAGCCAGCCAGAGAGCTTCAGCTATCGGCTGGGATAACCATGTTTGAATGAATGAATGAATAAATGAATGAATGAATGAATGAATGCACAGAGAAAGGAAGGTGAAGCCATGGAGGGCTTTGAAAGCAGCCCTTGACTCATCTCCATGAAGCAGCCGCTGGTTTCTGCTTGTGACGGACACAGGGAGGCAGTGATGGGTCGCTTACCATGCAGCCTCCAGTTGATGCTCTCAGGCAGAATGATCCCCCCCCCCCCCCGCACTGGACTTGATCTGGCAGGGAGCCTCTCATTGCAGACATTTCCTCTGGACTGCGATCCGCCAGGCTGGCTCGATTCTTGGAGCAGACAAACCTAAGCGGACAAGTTGTTGCTGAACCACAAGAACCTCCTGTGCTTGGCTTGGGGCTGGTGCTTCATTGCAGAGCTGGGGTGGGGACCATGCTCTTTTTCAGCCCAAGGGCCAGTTTTGAACTTGCAAGAACTCTCGGGGGGCTGCATGCGGACGACAAGCACGGCTGAAGGCAAAAGGGTTGGGGCCAGACCCGCAAAAATGCTAGCAGGCTGTCACAGGCAGCTCTTGCTGTCAGCACTAAGCCTTCGAAGAGGCATTTCAGCTCTACAGAAGCGGGGAGAACCTGGAATAAAGCTGAGAAACCACAGTGGATGGCGGGGTGGGGGGAAAGGGCTGGGCACAGCAAGAGGGAATATGCTGGAGGCCCTGTTAGGAGTTCTGTCATTCCTAGAGTATTTTCTTTTGCTTGCCCCTTACTTACAGGGGCTTCTGTCCCCCTTCTTACTTATTTAGCTTCAGAGTTCGCAAGCCCACACAAGCATCCGCACAATGCATTTGAAAGGGTCAGTGGAACGGCCCCTCTGTGCCACTAGTGCCCTTTCCCAGGCCTGGCCTCGCACCTCATCTTGCGAACGAAGGTGTGGGCCCTCTGCTCCGGTTCCTCCTCTGTGCTGTGCTCCTTCTTGTGCTTCCTCCTGTAGTGACGAAAGAGCTGGTACCCCCTGTCCATTTTCCTTGAGACAAAATCATGCATGGGGTTGGCCAGGATGTGATGCTCACCTTCCTGCCCCGGAGGCCACTGGCAGCCCATGCCTGCAAGAGATACGCTGCTAAATGCACAGAGACCGGATAGAGCGCATGGTCTTGCCTTCTGCTTCCAAGCTGAGCTGTGCCCAGTGGGGCTGGACCTTGAGGGGCCGTTGGGCCAGCCTTGTAGGTTCACAGGGCCACTAATCTCATCTGCCACTGTCCTCACCTGCAGAACCCCATTTGCTCTGACTTTAGCTGAGGGGAGCGGGGGGGGGGGTGAATTTTCTCAGCAGCAGCATGCGGTGGTGTGCTCTCCCATTTGACGTGCAAAGTATTTTGTAGTGTTTTGGTCTTGAATGGGAAAGTAAAACCTAGGCGCTGTATTTTTCAGGGAAGAAGCCCAACCTGCACCTGGTGGAGATCTAGAATCGGTTTGTTGAAATGGATCAGGAAAATTGCCTGCATTTGTAGTCTCTTTTGGGGGGTAGAACTACAGGGCCCATCATGATGAGCTCCTGCATGTCAACATTTACCAGCACCCAGTATCTATGCTCCTTTCTCCATCAACTTCCCTTTTTGAGATTCTAGTCCCCCACTATATGACTCTACTCTTTGAAAACCCATCACTTGTGCAAGTATCAAAATTAGGCAGTTTCAGGCAACAGAATAACAAGTACCCAAGGACTGAGATTGAGCATGGGTCATTGTGGAAATTTGGGTTAGCATTTTGTCCGAACCCAGCTGCACCAACAACCCATGGCTTGTTAATCACAAGCAACCCATGAACAGAACCAATGGTTTGTTGTGAGATTGTGGCTTGTCCACCACGGTTTATCTCAGTTGGGTTCAGACAACATGATAAGCCAGTTAACAATCCATGAAAGGCCGGGCTTGGCCTCCAGCAAGTGCTGGCTCAAGTTTTGAGGGCCCTTTGGCAAAACGCCCTCTCTCGTCTCCTTCCTCGCTGCCACTGCCACTAGCTCTCATACTCTTTCTCATCTTCTCTACCCCTGGTTGCCTGAGAGGTGGGAAGCAGCAAGCAAGCTGGCTGCAGCATCCGTTCCTCACTGCCGCTGCCGCCACCCAAGTTGTCTGGGCCAGTGTAAGAAGTAGTCAACTGGCAGAAGACGAGACCGAGGAAGAGAAGCAAGGGGAGCCCTTGGCAGCTGGTGCCTACTTTTGACACTGGTCCTGTCCCCAGTCCAGTCCTAAGGTTCCCAGCCCCACAAGACAGGACTAGCTAAACAGAGTGCTGGAGCCTACATCTCTGTGCTTGCTCTGTCCATGGAACAGCCTCTGCTTTCACTTTTGACTTTTGTGGGAGATTTGGGAGTACTTAAAAAAAGCATAACGTGGTCGTAAAAAGAGGTCATACCCTTTGGCAGCTCCAAGAATCTTGGTGAGAAGTTGCGGGAGAAATTTTGATAGTCGATATTGCATTTGCCGTGATGAGAACCCATAAGGTTGCTGAAACCCCTCATCCGAGAGTGCACAGGGACCTGGTGCTCTCCCGAAGTGGTCACAGGGTGTAGACGTTCTTCTTTGTGCCCCAGTAGGACACGTTCTGCCACACGCTGCGGGGAAGCCCTTCGTAGTGTTCCTGGCGTACTGGCTGGAGAGTTGGGGAGGGGGAAAGGAACGTGGGTGCAGGCAAAGAGCGGGATGCTGGCCGTGCGAGGTGCAGACACATTCTGGGGACTGACAAAGGTTCTGGCTGGGATAGGCCAGCAGAACATCACACGCCTTCCAGATGTTTGGGACTGCAACTCCCATTACCCCATGGTGCCTGGGGCTAAGGGGAACTGTAGTCTGAAACATCCAGAAGGTGCCGGATTACCTACCCTCGCCATAAGCACATGCCCTCCTTCAGTGAACTCCACGTGGCGATAGTTTGTTACTGGCTTCAGTTCAATTTTCAATTAGCTTTCCAATTAACCACCACAACAAAGCCCCAAGCAGAATGGGACCAAAGTATCTGACTACTGCCTCCTAAATAGACTTTCCCATCAGTAGTTTTAATTGGAAGCTATTCTCTCAGTTACTCTGCCTTCCAATTTGGACAAATGCATTTTCTGTGATGACACTCTAATTACAAAACTTCCCTGCTCTCGCAGGCAAGTGCACCTCTTTCCGGGGGCTTCTGGGTTTTGTTTTGTTTTTTCATTCTTCTTCCAGCCTTCCTCAAGGCCATGCCATCTGGGCATGATGGGAGCTGCCATCCTACATGTCTGGAGGGCACCAGGTTGGGGGAGGCTGCTCCACATCTTCTGTCATGTGGAGAACAAGGAGGACAGGCACATCAGACTGTGCTGACTTCCTGTGCCGGAGGACTTATAGGAGCAGGTGCAGTGAGGTGTGGCAGTGCTGGCAGGAAACAGATTTTGCTTTCCTCCCACTCTGACATTAAAGGGTAGATCAACTCACTTGCGCCCAAACAGATGAATGTGTGTTGAATAAATTCACATTTCTATGCTGGCCCTCTCATACTCTGATAAAAACAAAATCCTGATTTGCTTTTGGTCTATATCTCCAAACTTACTTCTTTCTTTCTTTCTTTCGTTCTTTCTTTCTTTCGTTCTTTCTTTCTTTCTTTCTTTCTTTCTTTCTTTCTTTCTTTCTTTCTTTCCTCACTCAGCCCTTATTAACAAAGAAAATACTACGTGGCTCTGACAGCAAGACTTCTTAGGGTCCCAACTGGTGTTCTTTATACTTACTGTGAAAAAGGTAGGTTTGGTATGTATAACATACAATATGATCCAGTCAAAATACACTGGTACTCAAAAGGCTCCAGTACCCTGTTTTTCTGGCTGCTGGCCTCTTTCAAAGTCCACAAGTCAAGGACTCACCTTAAATCCATCCATCTTGGGGAAGGCACTCTGAGCTACAGCTGGGTGTTCTGCAGCCCCATTTATCTGGAAGCATTTCCGGACATTAGTCTCTATTTCTGTGGTCTCTGGGGTGATTTTGCAGTTGGCACCCCATAGCCCTCTGTCTCCATCTGGTAGGTGATCACACGCCCTGGATCACAGGGTGCAAAAATGGACAGACTAAGAAAAAGGTATAACAAAGGGAAACTCACATTTTCTTTTCAGCAGAGGTTGTATGGGAAAGGTTGCACTCAGGTTTCACGCGGGGGCAGGGGGAGCAACTCCTGCATCAGGGGGGTTCCTTATCCGTTGCAGCTTTTGTTCTAAACTTTATAAGCTATCCTTGGTGGTGAAGCTATTTTGGGAATGGATTGTGCTTTAAATTAATTAAGCTACAAAGTCTCCTTTGAGAAATACTAAGTTTGTAGTTTTACAAAGGCTGCATTTGCCAGGAATCCTTGTAGAGAAAGGAACTTATTTTAGGCCTTATTTGAATTTGTAAAGCAAACACAACCCCAGTTGTGCTGTATTGATCTGGGTCAAGCCACACTGCAGCTGACATGTCCTTGGTGATAAAATTCCCTTCTTGCCTACCGTGATAGTACTGAATGCGGCTCTTCCGTGCAGTTGGGTTGTACCAAGCTTCAAAGGGCTCTTCAATCTCAGCAAAGGGTAGCTTGATGGTCCCTGCAGGACGACAGGCATCTGTCTGTCTGTCTGTCTGTCTTTCCCTCCCTCCCTCCCTTCCTCCCTTCCAGGCTGTTAGTTTGCTGCATCAGGAGGTGGTGGGAACACACACACACGTCCAATCGTCGTTTCACTTGGAAAACTAAATTAGTCACAAGAACTAACACTAGAAGTCTAAAAATTAATCCAGAATTATTACTGATTAATTTAAAGTGTTTGTTAATTCCACTCTTCAGCCAAAAGGGCTCTTGGAGCAGCATACAAGCAACCAGTTAAAGAAGGCAGTCCCTGCCTCTAGGCTTGCAATTTATAAAGATGCAAGACACAAAGAAAGGGAGAGAGGGAAAATTAAGGCAATCATTCAAAATAGTTGGAGGGCATGAAGTGGGGGCAGGGTGGTCCATACCGCAGGGGCAGGTGCCAAGCACAATCTGCCAGTGTTACCTGAGACATGATAAACCTCTCCAAATTCAGGCAGCTTTGACAATGTATCCGATTCTGATGCTAGAAAGGAACAACAAAACTATACATTCAAGGTTCTGGGGTTGTAGGGAGAAAAAATACTGAAGATGTGGAGGGAAAAAGCCCACAACAGATCCACTGGATCAGTGTCTTTAGATATCATGAATCCTTTCAAGGGGCTCAGATTTAGCCTTAGACCTCAAAGATAATTCAAAGACTGGATCTACATGAACATGGAATCTCTACAAGAAGTTTGGGGCCTGATAGTTCCTTCCACAATCCTTCCAGGTCAAAGAGGAATGGACAGAGAAAGAAAAACACTCCAAGTGAATGCCTGGCTATGACGATGGTGCTGATGTGAGAGAATTGGATTCTGGGACCATGGGCTGCACTTCCTGGGAGATGGATTTCTGACTTAGTGGAAAAAGTGCCAGCTACATGAACACTGGAGGAAAGCGGTCATGCCACCCTTGAACTCTTGATTCTATGTAAAGGAAGCAAAAGCCAAAGGTAGCGAAACATGTACCTGCCTTTTTAGGGAAGTCAATTTTAACAAACTCAATGATAAATAAAGTCTCATGGCAAATGACTCGAATGAGAAAAGGAGTCCAGGATGCGTGGGGATTTTTTTAAAAAATGAAAAGCTAAAGGCACTGTTACAAACCATTCCAACAAGAAAAGGGGTGGAAAACAGGAGAAGGTGAGACTGAGATTCAGGAACTAACCCACAGTCACCCAGGGAGGTTCATGACGAAGCGAGGACTAGAACCCGGGTCTCCCAAAACCCAGTGCCACTGCAACCAGTACCCACACTGGCGTTACTCCCTTTTAAAATGCAAGCTGAGTACAATGACTGTACAGAAGAGCAATATCTGCTGAAAGTACAACACCCCTGCTATTTTTAAAGAGCTCTCTTCTCTATACATACCCAAATGGATAGAATCAAGCATGGATATGAAATCTGGAGAAAGATAATCAGGCCTAGAAGAAAGCTGCTTGGAAGCTGCTTGACGAAGAGATGAAAGCAACCATGTTGGATCTGGAGACAGCCACACGCTGTGCCTGCCTTCCTGCCTCCCATCCCACCCATCCTCTTTAACTAGAAGATCAGAGAGGGAGATAGGGATGATTTCTGGGGAGGCTGAATCTGTCTGAATGCCCATAAGTTGTTTTGGTTGCACAGGCAAGATGTGTGTGTCGGGAGAGACGTGGGCACAGGCACCCCCACCCCCAGAAGCACGTTTCTCATCTTTTGCACCGAGAGCAGGAAATGAGACTGACAGGTTTAGAGTTACCGTTGGACCGGTGCCACATGGAAAAGATCAGCATCCATCGGAGAGACGCCACCATTGCGCTATCCGAGCTCTGCCTTGTTGGCACGCGCAAAAGAAACTCCAAGCACCACAGCATAAGAAGCTGCCCCAAAGGGATTTGTTTATCCAGTGAAAATCCTCAAACTTTAGGGGATGTACTAGCTGGGAAGGGAACCGGGGGAAGAGGCTGCTGTTCCACTTCCAACTGACCTTTGGGTGGACTGAAGTTATAAGGCACGAACATTGAGTGGAAAGCTTGTGTTGCTCTTTAGGCATGCGAAGAATGACTTGAAGGAGGGTAAAGTACTGAGCTGAAGCCCTTCAGCATCTGCAGTAGCCATGACAGCACAAAGTGGGCTTGCGGAGTTTCCCCCTCTGTTCCTGGTCCCTCCTTGCACGTACGCTTAAGGACACCTCACCAATTCGCCGCATGGAGCGTCCATTTTAATATGGACAATGTCATCTCAACCTGTGCCGTTCAGGGTGCAGGTTTAAAGATTCATATCCTGCCCCTTTGCAGTCTGAACGCAACTTACAAATCCAAGATGAAACTTCCGATTAAAGGGAAAACATAACAGAAACCATGGAGAAATATTGCCCCCCCCCCAAAAGAAAACACATCAGAAAACCTGGAAGCCTTTGCCTTGCACCCTCCAAAATAATATTTTTGGTGCCAGATGAGCCGCAGAGGGTAGGAAATTCTGCAAGCAGAATGCCACCACTGAGGAAGGGCTTTCTCTGGTCCCCACCTCTTACCAGACATGGTGAAAGCACCTAGAGGGGAGCCTCTGGATGCATAGCTGGGTCAGGATACAGCTTTTCCTTCAGTTTCTTGGGTTCTAATAAGCTGTATTACATTTCAAACGTAAGCATCAACATTTTGGATGGTGCTCAGAATTGGTGGCCATGACTCTCCTAAGGAGACGTGTCTGATATAGACTCTCAGACCCAGAAGAGGATGTGGCTATGGAAGTATTCTCTCTCATCATGGGCCGCAGCCCAAGAAGAGATGCTGGGTCAAGCCCCACAGAGTCCAGAAGAGGTTGCATTGCTATCTTCATTGCTCGTCCTAAGATTTACTTTCGAAGCCATTGCCACACCCCCACGCCATGGGAGCCAAAAGATTCAAAATCTAGCATGGCGCCTTTAAGGGAGGGAACTTTATACAGTGTATTGAAGTAGCTGGAAGCCTACAGGAAGCTCGTCCGATTTACAGCTGGGTTTGCCAGTTCTTGGAGCAACGTACAAGGTTGGAAGAACATGCAAGGTGACTTTGCTCGGCGGCCCTCGCAGCCCACATGGAGCTCTCCATGGTGCTACCTGCTTCTTGCTTTCTTCAACTGAAGTATCTGCTTTGAGTGATCTCACTTCTGGCTCCTGCCACAAGGTGACCATCCTGGAAACTGAGCCGTGCTCTGCCTGACCTGAGATCTGAGCCCCTGTTTTTTAACTGCACCCTGAGAAACCGCTGCAGCATCAACTAGACTAGGCCCTGGACTCAGCAGAACCCACAACCTGAAATGATGCAGGTTGATAGCAAGCCAGTGAACTTCTTTCAGAGATATGTTCCCACTGACCACTCTCTGGCAGCAGCCTAGAAGCTGTATTTTGGAATAACAGAAACTTTTGGGCAGACTTGAAAGGCACCCCCACACCAGGGATGTATGAGCAATCTGATAAAGGGGTGAAAATCCAGTGGATTTTCATAACCCAGCCCTTTGGATTCCATTTTGTCAACCCTGTGCGGGCACATACTTAAAATGATGCAAGCTGAGCCAGTATGTGGAGTTCCATTTTTAAAACTGGCTGCAATCTATGCATTTAAAAAAGAGAAAAGAAGCTAGGGAAAGTTGTGCAAATTTGGAAAGGAGCTGGAAATCTGGATAAATTTCAGAGCAAAAGTACTTCTAGAAGTAATTTTTAGGACTGCTACATCTTGCAATCCTGATGAGATGTACCTTGATCTCAGCACATACCTTATATTAGAAACACTAAATATGAACGAGTGTGCTGATATAATATTAAAAGCAGTGTGAACCTTTTGAATTGGCCCCAATTTGCACAAATCACAATTTCCAGACACTGCTAGAGATACAGGGTCCTTGGCTCCCAGTTTTCAAAATAGTTTAAGCTCCTTCGTGGAAGTGGAATCCAGCCCTGCCTTGGCCCCGTTTGGCTATAGGGATGGAATTCCATCAGTCTCAAACTGAATGGGTTTTCTAGCATTGCACATCTCTGCCCCATGCTCAGTGGATTATCATAGTCAACCCTGCATATCGTCAGCGTTTGGAGTAGATGGCCACTCTACCTCACCTGGAGGAACCTACACATGGTGCACCAACCCACAATGTTGAAGGATCTTCTTTGCCACTTACTCACAGACCCTCCGTTTTGTCAGGAATGAGTCTTGGTTCATTGGACTTTATCCAGCCCCATTACCAGTTCCAGGCATCACTTAATACTTCTATTGCCTCCTCTGAATCTGATGAAAATGGAGAAAAGGCTGGTGTGATAAGCTGAGCACTGCAGAACTGAATGATAGTGTAGCTGCTTATATCAAGAGCCACTGAGAAGACCAGAAGGATTGGCATGGACACTTTCCTTTGCTCTCCAAGTACAGCATCCACTGTGTAGATGATCCATTTTGGCAGACTTTGTACCAAACTCAGGCCAGATGCCTGAGACCAAATTCTGCTTAGCTATGAGGCTGACTGGGTGAGCCAAGAGCAGTCATTTCCTCCAATTCCAGTCTACTTCACAGGGTGATTGTGTGGATAAATAGATTTATTTGCATTCATGGAATACATGGAAAAGAAATGGAATTCATTCCATTTGTATGCCACCCAATAGCTCGAAACTCTTTGGGTCATTTACAAAGATTAAGACCCTGAGAATGCAATATTAAGCGAGATAAACCCAGTTACATAGACATGTGACCATTTTAAACTATCAACAACTATAGTCACAAATGTCTTGGAGGAAAAGTAGGACATTTTATTCATTGGTCTAATGTTTAGCCTGCCTTTTTTCCTGCCAGAAAGTGAAGGAGGCTTACATAATCCTTCACCTCTCTGTGTTACCCTCACAACAACCCTGCAAGGTAGGATAGGCTGAGAATTGGTGACTGGCCCAACGTCAACCAGTAAGCTTCACTGCTGAGTGGAGATTAGAACCTGGACTTTTATGAGTCCCATCCAACTCTTTAACCACTACTCCACACTGAATCTCATGAAGTCAGTGGCATGAAGCTAATTCACTGGCCAGCTCTGAGCAAGCAGCATAACGTGGTTTTGTAGTCATGTCTGCCCCATGCTGTTCTGTTCGATTGTCATTCCAAAAATTGTTTTGCCAAAATACCTCTATTAGGCCAAGATCAACCAACCTATCCTGCAAAAAGTAGCACTGCAAGCTTTTGAGATCCCCAGGCCTGTTCTTCTGCAGGCAAGGCATTAAAAGGACTGAATCATAGTGAGGCAGGGCAAAGGATGCCGGGCAGTGGAATTCTATGGTTGTTAGACAGTGCCTAGGCAGCCATAGGATTTTTCAGGAGCCCGGTCCAAAGTTGGAAGGTCATCCTGAGGGAGCAGCTGGGTGCCATGCTTGGATCTCCATGCTTGGGTCGCCACAAGAGCAACCTCAGAGGAATGATTTAGGGGAAAGAGGAGGGGAGAAAGCAGCACTGTCAAATGCAAGGTATCCTCCTTCCTTCCTTTCCTTTCTTCCTTCCTTCCTTCCTTCCTTCCCCCCTTCCTTCCTTCCCCCATAGCTAAAATTGGCCATCCATGTGCTATGCTGGTTGGGAGCAGCATGAAGTCCCCCTGCATTCCTCCGGAATCTTTCCATAGGATCCCCAGAAACCTCTGAGTTTGGAAGGATACCAGCTTCCCTGGATTGCACTTATATGAATAGTCCCATTGTCTGCATATCTAGGATAATCACTCCCGGGTTTAGCATGGGGAGGGGGCTGCCCTGTTTGTGCCCAGGAAGGACTCTACCCTTAAAGGCACCATGAAAATATTTAAAATAAGTAATACGAATCTTTGAGAGAAGTAGGGAGCAATTTGCTTAAGCACCTGTGTTAAACCAAGAAAAAAATGAAGAGGGCAGGAGCCCAGTGAACAAGGAAAAGCACAGGTGTTGCTGGGCAAAAACCTCTGCTTGTCTTCCGTTGCTCCCCTTTAGGCTGTGATGCAAACTCAGAAAGAAAGCCGGCATATAAATAAGAGATTATGAAGGAGATGGTTTTCAAAGCGCGCATTGTTGCAAACTGAAAAAGAAAACACGCTTCTTGATTCTGCATAAGCCAGAAAATATTCACATAGCATGTTGATAATTGCTTGACCTCCACCCAGCATTCTGCTCATTTCCATCCAGTATGATGGTATTATGAGTATGGGATACGACCCTGCTGGTGAGTGGCTACAGAAATTAGGGGGATGTTATCTTAACATTGGCCCACTTCGGCATGCTTCTCATCTCTCAAATGGAAACCATTTCCAGCATCTCAGGAATCTGGGCATTGCATGAACTCAAACGCAAACTTCTTCATTTCTCCAGATGTTGTTAAGTTGTTCAGATGTTTCCAGATGTTCTCTCATGGTTGTCTTTTCCAGTGGCTGACTAAATGATGTAACACTAATGCCATCTAAATACTGTCCGGGGCTGTATTACACGTGACCTTATCCATGGATGGGTAAATATAGGGAAGTTGTCAAAAGTGTATCCTGCATATGCACAGGGAATGATAGGATTGGTAGTTCTTGTTTTACGATTTTATGCTAACAGCTGGGCTCCATTTTTCATTTTTCTAAGCTAATCCTTTCTTCCCAAATCCGCAACGTTTTACTAAGTTGTGATTAAAACAAACAAACCTTTTGGTAACACTAGGGCTGTAGTTTCAATATATTTGCTGTTTGTAAATTATATTCCCTGTTTTAATGCTGCAACTGTAATTCATCAAGTGTAAAACAGAAAGTGGGAGAGGGGGAAGGAATAATCTGCTCCATTTTCTTAAAAAGAAAACATTGAGATAAACGG